GTAGAAAAATAAGCCAAAGTTAACACTGGTTGAGTAATATAGTCTCAGATTATTTTGATTATAGAATAGAAATATGTTTGTACCTTTAAAAAGTTTAGACCAAATGTGATTGCTATATCCATTTTTTCTTGAATACCTGTATTTTACATCTTAAACATCTTAACCTGTTTTCCTCAGTCTAAGTAGTTTGGTATTATTTTCTGTCTTTAGTCCTGTTTCAAGAAATGCTGGATAGTTTGGTTTTATCAAAAAAAAAAAACATTTATTAATACAGAACTGGGGTACAGGCCAGAGGCTCAGGGGCAGTGAGAGGCTTCACCAGAGACAGAGCGAGGAGCAGAACGGGCAGATCAACGAAGTACACTGCTGAGGGGAGCAGCGGGGTGGGTCAGGAGAGGTCTGCCACGCCATGTGGTCACCTCCAGGGCAGGCGGGAATCGAACTCATGTGGAAGTGGCTTTAGCTTCTCAGTGCTGTGCTTTAACCCACTGCGCCACCAGGGAGGGCCGCTTATAAATTTCTAAAATTAAAGCAACATATATACTCATTGAAAAAATTCAGACAATGTAGAAAGTCATAAATAATAATTATCTCTACCTATTTTCCTATAAGTGGAATCCTATGTTGGGATTTGTGTTTTCCAAATCTAGTAAATCCTTGATTTCTTTTTATTCATTCTATGTAAGTGTAATTCTTAACCACGTATCTATGTAGTATTTCTTTTGCACAGAATCTTAGTAATTTATTTAACTCATCCCCTGTTGGTGAACATGCAGGCTATTTGCTGGGTTTCATATTATAAACAGTGCTGCAGAGAACATCCTTAAAATAATACTTTTACTTTCTTGTGCTTGTGTACTTATAGAATACATTCTTAAAAATGAAATTGCTGGACCAAAGCGTACAGCATATAAAAATTATAGGTGGTTTAATTTTCTTTCAAGTGTGTTATTCTAGTTCACACATATGTCTTACTAATCTTTTTAAATTTTTGTGAATTTGTTGGGTGAAAAACGGTTGTATATAGCCCAAATTTTTCTCATAAATTGTGAGTTGGGGAACTTTTCATTAGTTATTGACCATACACATTTTTTTCTTTAATATCTATTCATAGCTTTTGCTCAGTTTTGACTCCTACTTGATAGCTTTTTTTTTTTTTAAGAGATCCTTCTATATTAAGGGTAGTCTTGACTGTCACATACTATGTGAATATTTTTTGAATAGTTATTTATCCTTTGACTTTGTTTATGTTGTGCTGTGCTATATTTAATTTTTATGTAAGCAAATATTTTATTGCTTTTAAGTTTCTTGTCATGCTTAGAAATCATCCAAAATTATGAGAAAGGAAAGCAATGAATTTCTTAACTTTTATGGCTTACTCTCAAACACTTGATCCATCTGATACTTATTTTACGTTAGTTTAGTGATCTAGTTTTATAGTTTTTCAAACTGACTAACCAGTTATTTGAACATTACTACTAAATCTACTCTTTATGAGTGTTTATAAACTGACTTTCATTGCTACTTCAGATTCTTTTTCTCTAAATAGTGTAGATGTAAGTAGTTGAGAATTTTTAAAGGTTTTTGAGGTTAGGGGAGCAATGTAAAGTCAAATAGATACAAACAATTTTCTTTTTTGCAATGAAGACTGATTAATGATTGATTCTTTCAAGGAATACTCTTAAATCCAACAATCCTGTGGACATGAAAGTGAACTTTAGATGATTCGTTTAGGTTACTGACATCACTTTGCGGAGTGCAAGGTAAAGTTGGGATGTAAGACATGTCAATGTGAGTTTTTTAAAAAGTAATCAAATTTTAAAGTGAGCTTGAACTTATCTAAGCAATAAAAACCTGTTTTTTATTGCCTACGCACTAGTTAATTTTGTACTTGCCACAAGGAGACAAAGAAAATGTTTGTTAGAAGAACTGAAACTTAAAAAAAGGTATTAGTCACTCCTTAGTACTTCTTAGTCATCTTTACAAATTTAGTCATTATAAGTAGACTTTCTTATTTATTTTTTATTTTTTATGCTGCATGTTGCATGACTAGGGATCAGAAGATGGATTTTATTTTTGGCTCAGTTACTACTTTGTCAGGTGACTGTAGACAAGATGTTTAATTTCTCTGAGTTTTCGTGTTTTGTATCTCCCTTATTTCACTGGGCTGTTATAAAGAATCATTGAGATGAGATATGATAAATAAATGTTGAAATTTACAGCAAGATTATTAAGCATGAGGATTTACAGATTCAGAGGCCATAGTTGCAGAAATGGTTTGGGAATTAATTAGGAAGGAATTTTATATTTAAAGGGAAAGACTAACATGGTTGAGTCATGAAGGGTGCATGCATGTCACTGGACAAGACTACTTATTTTAAAATATTTCTGAAATTTGAGTTAATTGTAGTTATCTCTATAGTATAATTTATTGTTACATAATTTAAAGAAAATCACTTAAAAACATCCATCTTAAGTAGTAAATGGCTTGATGTTCAGTTATATTTGTTTCTAAAACAGTAAATATGTAATATTTGACAACTATTGGTAGGACCACAGATTTTATATTCAGTAGCACTGCTATATCTATATCATCATTTCAGGAACAATTCTTAAGGAATAAGTTGACTCTGGATGTAAATGTGGACAATATATGGTCACTAAGCTGCAAGCAACATTATGAGGAATGCTTTGTTAGCTGATTTTATCCTTTTGTGAACTTCAGAGTGTATTTCTATAAATCTAGATGACGTAGCCTGCTGTACACTTAGACTACACATAGGGTCATGACTGTATATATGGTCCCTGATTGATGCAAACACTGTTATGTAGTGTGTGATTATATATTCATGACTCATTGTATTGAGGCTACTTTTAATAGTTTTATCAGAGGACATGAGATGGATTGAGGAAATAGTTTGAAGGGCTGGTGTTAAAAAACTGAGGTAGCCCTTCTGGGATAGAAAAATGGAGAAGAGGGTAAAGATAATGAAAATTAAGACAGTAAAGAGTTGATACTGGGCATCCCTGATGACACAGGGGTTAAAGTCTTAGCACTCTCGTGCTTCTTGCTATTGCCAGCCACTGCAGCATGGAGGTGACCCACAGCAGACCTCTCCTGTTTCGCTTGTTGCTCCCCACGGCAGTGTATTTCAGTGCATCTATCTGTTCTGCTCCCCACTCTGTCTCAGGTGAATTCTCTCACCCCCTACACTTCTGGCCTAGACCCCAGTTCCTGTGTACATAAATAAATAAAATAAGCCTTTTTAATGATAAATAAATAAATGAATATATAGTTGATAGAGTAAATAAATGAGGGATGCTTAATAGAGCTCTGGGACTTGAAGAAGGTAGAAAATATTTGGAGCTATGGTTGTGAGGCATGTTAAAAAATGCTTAAGCAGTAAAAACAAAGATTTCATTTTTTTTTTTTTTAAAGATTTATTTATTTGTGCATACAGAGCTGGGGTACAGGCCAGAGGCTCAGGGGCGGCGAGAGGCTTCACCAGAGACAGAGTGGGGAGCAGAACAGGCAGATCGACGAAGTACACTGCTGAGGGGAGCAGCGGGCGGGTCAGGAGAGGTCTGCCACGCCATGTGGTCCCTTCCAGGGCAGGCGGGAATCGAACTCATGCAGAAGTGGCTTTAGCTTCTCAGTGCTGTGCTTTAACCCGCTGCGCCACCAGGGAGGGCCAAAGATTTCATTTTTTTATTGCAGTACTAGTTGAAATGACAACATCAATTATAGTGGGTCCATTTTTTTCAATGCATCTGAAATTGGAGAGAGCAGACTGGTAATGTAAGTCAGTATACTGTATTTGCAAGTTCAGCCAACTGCAAATGGAAAATGTGGCATGATATAGTTAGGGATATACTATGCTGCATCCATAATGCTACATACAGACTTTCCCTTTGGTCATTATTCCCAAAACAAAACAGTATAAACAGCAATTTATGTAGTACTTACATTGTGTTAGGTATTTTAAATAACGTAGAAGTGATTTAAAGTAAACTAGAGGATATGTGTGAGTTATATGCAAATATTATACCATTTAACATAAGGAACTTGGGCATCTCTAGGATTTGGTATCTATAGGGATTATGGAACCAATTTACATCTACATTGTATTAGTGTTTCTCTCCTGTTACTGCTGGATAATATTTTATTGTACAGATAGACCACACTTTATTAATCTGTTTACCAATTGACAAGTTACAGGGTTCTGACTGTATTATTATGAAAATGCTACCATAAAACATTCTTACACATTTTTGTACAAGAATGGGTAGATATGTTTTTATTTCTTTTGTATATAAACCTAGGTTGTGTAGTAGCTCCATGTTTAACCTTTTGAAGAACTTCCAGTTTTTCAAACTACTGTTACCATTTTCCATTTCTGTGAGCAATGGAAGAAGAGGGTTTAATTTCTTCTCCTAGCCATTACTGTTTTCTTTTCCCCCACTTTAAAGACTTGCGTTGACACCAAATGGGTACTAGTTTATAAACATCAAGATTACAAGTGTTTATAAACACTCATCTAAGTGTAAGTTCAGTTTGTTCAGTGGCAAATACTTGTTAGGTGCTTTTGATTATATTCACCAGATTGGATGTGAAGTGTTATTTATGTGTTTTTTTTCTTTAAGATTTATGTATTTATACATATAAGAACTGGGGTAGGCCAGAGATAATGGGAGTTGAGCAGAACAGGTGGATCTACTAAAATATACTTCTGAGGGGAGAAGCAGGCAAGACAGTCTGCTGTGCCATGTGGGTCACCTCCCAAACTCATATTGTAGTGGCTGCAGATAGTTTCACAGTGCTGAGACTTAACCCTTTGCACCACCAGGGAGGCCCTTATGCTTCATTTTTCATAGCTGTGCCATGTTTTGTGTTATAGTTTACTTAATCATACTTTTTTGCTAGTTTACTTGGTTTAAAAGGTACTGGTAGAAAACTATATCCCTCAGTTTAACTATATCCATCATTTTTCTTTCCTAAGGTAACATTGACATGAAACAGGTAATAGCAAAGAAGATAAAATTGACAGCAGAGGCAGAGGTGAGTAATTCTCTGTCCCAGAAACAAAAATGTTGAGTCCTAAATATGAAATTGGGACCACTTCAGGCAGGGCAAAGGGTTCTACAAGTTATAATTCCACAATAGCATCTTGGGAAATTCTCAAGCACAAGGAACAATTAAAAAAAAAAAGTCATCAAATACCATGTGTGTTTGACAGTAAGATGATTTCAAATCCAAAGTAGTCCCACCTTTTCCCAATGAGATCACTTTTAAAATTTACTGGCCATTTAAAATACATAAACAGCCAATTATGTAACCTTGTTTTTGTTCATTAATTGAATTACATGTGCATGAATATATCCATTTTTAAGATTAAATTTAAACTTAGATTATTTTTGTAAATCATATTTTACAAGACAGGACATTTGAGATTATTTTTATTGACTTTGATTATCAGAGCTCATATTTTCATTATCTTCCTGTCCTAGGATATGGTTTTCATTTTCATCTAATTTCTTGGCACTTTTTGAGCCCAAGGTTAATCCCTGTAGATACCAAATTTGTGCAGGACCTATTTAATTTAACATTAAGAGAAACCTACCATTCACTCCCCAATTTGTAACTTCTAAAATGTAACCACTTAATTGTATTGCCTTATAAAGTGGTCCTCAAAAGGTACAGTTACTAAAGAAAGCACACACAGACCCCTGTACTTGAAAATGTGAGTGCAGGTTCTTGTAATACTATATGAAATTTTATTTATTTTTACAGATTCTGTTAGGTTTTATGTGTAATTTTAAAACTGTAGTCATCACGGTCACTTATGTGATCTGTAATTTTCAATTACAGATTTGCTCTAAACGTTTAAAGACTTGATTATTAGATAACTTCCATTCAGTCTGAGAGTTTATAATTTTAGCTAGAAAATAAAAATATTTAATATATAGCACATGTGCCATTTTTAAGGGCCTGTTGTAAATTTAGTGTTATGATTTGTATTTTAATGATTTATCAAAATACTTAGGACCCTTGGTATCCCACTTGGACAGTCTGGACTCGTAGGTTTGTCTTCCATTCCTTTTCTCACTCCACTTCGATTCCTCTTTTGCTCCTTCTGCCCTTCCCAGCAGTAACACAAATCCTTGTTACGTTCCTTTTTTTTTTAAGATGTATTTATTTATGCATACAGAACTGGGGTACAGGCCAGAGATGCGGAGGGTGAGAGGATTCACCAGAGTCAGAGCGGGGAGCAGAACAGGCAGATAGAGGAAGTACACTGCTGAGGGGAGCAGCTGGCGGGCCAGGAGAGGTCTGCCACGCCATGTGGATCTCCTCCAAGGCAGGCGGGGATCGAACTCTTGGGGAAGTGGCCAGCACCAGGGAGGGCCTATGTTCCCTTTTGAGGGCAACTTTCAAACAGGTGAAAAGGAAGTTCTGCCCTGCCATTCCTGCATTATTATTGGAGGGAGCCAGGGGGAAGTCTTTTTCTGTGCCGATTTACAAACATTCAGAAATGAATGGGAAGTAGAGGTGTAGGTCAAAGAGAGAGATTGGGAGGGGGATTGTTTCAGGGATTTAAGTTGAAACTTTTATTTTAAGAGATGGTTCTATTTCTCCTCTTTATTAATCAGTAGATAGAATTATTACAGCATTCTTTAGATGGGTCTCTTAGGAGAATTTGAAGGAAAGTGAAAGAAATGAATGAAGGGAAAGGAAGCTTAGGGAAAGGCAGGCATTGGTTTGGCTAGTGTTTATTCTGTGTTGTGCAAGTAATGTGAAGGTTGCAATACCGTACAAGATTCGGTCACTCTTGTTGAGAGATAGCCTGGCTTAAACTGTGGAGAGCTGTGGGAGTAGGAAACTTAATGTATATTTTGGGATGTATCCTCTGTTGGGGTGCAATCAAAAAATAAAGTTGAAAAATTGGGGCTAACTTGTAAAACTTTTTCACTGCTTTAATCCCATTGTTCATAAAACTCTTTCTATGTGAAATTTTTAACTCCTTATCTTCACCAGCTAAAATACCTGTGCGTCCTTCAAATTATAATGTGAAAGTTGCTGCTTCTACAGTTTTTTAGATATCCCTGCTTGAAATGATGTCCTCCCCACTTTATTCTCCTAAGAACTAAGTTTATACCTTAGTGTACAGTTTGTCCTGAATGAATTTAGTGCTTTGTTCTGAATGAATTTACCAAAATTCTTTTGGGCAACTTACAGATATTTTAATTGGGAATTTAATGTCTATTGAGATTGACCATCTTATCATTACTTATTAACTGAAATTTTTTTGAGGGTGATATATAATATCAAAGTTGAAGGTAATTTATAGAGTTTTTAAAGATGAGACCAGGCTAATGTAATATGTTAGTATTCTAGAATGAACATTAAAGGCAAAGAAAAGAAGGGAACTCTAATAAAAGAAGGGAAGTCCTGTTATGGGCTCTTTTTTAGGTGTTATTATACATAATCATTTGCTTAATGTGAAATGACTATTGAATTGACAGTAGTAACCATTGTTCAGAGCCTTGGAATTTAGTTATTCTTGACACTAATTCCTCCTTTCTTGAGGGTTTTTAGGAATGATTTTTCAAGTGAAAATCACTTGTAGTTTAGTGTCTCACTCTCACCCGGTTGTCACCCATTTTCATTGGGCTGTCGTCACCCATTTTCATTGGGCTGTCAACTTCTAATTTACAGTGAGAATATTGGATTAGCTCTCTTCAGGGTCCCCTGCAATTCTAAATGTCATTAATTGTGTAGCTTATTTGAAGTTTGCTCCTAATTCACTCTTGTAAAAGGAATGGAGAGTTTATAAAATCTTGTTGGACAGTTCTTTCAGCTCTGTGACACCTGTAGCTATTAAATCAAATAGGACATGCCTGGTTTGAATTTCAGATAAATAACAGTTTTTAGTCATTATATAATACTTGAGACTTCTTGGACTGAAGAAGCTTGCCCAGTGGTGATCAAGCTCTTTATCTGAAGAGGGGAGGAATGAGGGTGGAGATGACATTAAGTAGGTTGAAATAAGTAGTTTCAACTTATTAATCCTTTTCAGTCACCTCTAGTTTAAGTGATGTCATAAAACATTTTAAGTACTTCATTAAAAAAATTATCTGGTGCTAGTGGGGCCATAGGATATTGCACAACCCTGAGTCATGACCTTTTGAAATTCTTAGAATGGTGTTGTAACAAGACTTAAAAAATCTTCAGTCCAAGAAGATGAGATGATTAGTCCCAAACAACTTGTATTAATGAATAAGTTAACTGTTTCAACATTGTTTTAGTTAAGTTTTCTTTTGGTTACAAATGACAGAAACCTATTTGCCTCATTTAAAAATTTAAGGAACAATTTGAAAGATATCCACTATCTCATGGAATAAGAGGAGTTGAATTCTCAAGCTTGGGAAAGGGTGAAGATTTAGCAGCAAGAGTTCAGATCAATCTGAATATTTCAATTAAGGTTTCCTGTCACTCTTTTTAAGTTCAGATTTCTAGATTTATGGGAGAAAGAATTGGACTTTTATTAAAAGGATCTGTCATAAGGTATACAGCCCTTGCTAGACACTTGGAACCTGCCCTCATCTTTGAGAGCAGTGAATATATTGAAGGGAAAGGGGGAATGTCTTATTAATAATTTGTTGAATCTCTGTTCATGAACACAGTTTTACAGAAGGAAAGTAGATCTAGTGTGATAATTGAAGGTAAAAAATACTTCCCATTTCTACTTTCTAAAAATAGTATTTGTTGCAACATTTTACTGGCTTCTTATGTAGCATTTTAAGGATTGTTTTTCCTATCAATGCCTTAGACTCTTTGCCCATTCATTAAATAGGCAAACTTAATAAAAAAGACTTCAATGACATGTTTTCAGATGAAGACTTCTCTTCATGATTCACTGCTCCTTTGAAGAAAATCTTCTAAAAAGTTTCTGGGCCCTCCATAGTGGTGCAAGGGGTTAAATCTCAGCACAATGAAGCTATTTGAAGCCACCAAGTTCCCAATTTAAATTGGGAAATAGTCTAGAATTAATTTTATTTTAAATAAAAAAGGATTATAAATCAGAGCTCTAATTTCATTAGTTGCTGGTTTAGCTTGAGGCTTTGGCTTTTGTTATTAAGGATCATGTTTAGTTATGTTCAAGACTTGCTTCCAAACAAGTATTTTTGTTTTAAAATACAGAGGCGTTTATGGCAACACACCATTTATAACTGTAGTAATAAGCCTCTTCTACAGTGATGTCTTCAGGTAAAATGTTTCTGATAGAAAACTAAGGCAAGCAACAGCTTACTTTTATTATATTGGGTTGTCAGAAAAAGTCATGACATATTTTTACTAAGCTTTTCATGAAAGCAAAAATGCATCATGATTTTTCTGACAACCCAATATCTATTTTCAGGCTTAGATCACTGACTTTTTAGAGAATCTTGCCCTTTTTTTTTTTAAAGCTTATGATCTTAATTATATTGATAACATTTCAGTTAAAATACAGTGGCAAGCAATACCAGGGGAGAAAATAATAATAATAATGACCAACTATATGCCAGAGACATACAGAGGTGGAGTGGGAAAGGGATCAAAAACGGTGGAGGGAGGCAAGTGCACTGGACTTGGTGATGTCCAAGAAGGTCAGGTTTCTGATTTTATTCCACTCTGAGAGTAAAAGATTCTCTGCAAAACCTGGCAGTGAATCAAAGAAGCAAGTAAATCATGGAGGAGCAATATGACCTTGTGGAGCCAGATGCAATTTTTTATACTCAGTACTCAGAGTACAGATTTTTCTCAGCCTGCTTGTTGAGCTTTTCTTGCCTGTCTGCTTTTCTGAAAGGGCTAATTTTATTGTTCACAAATGATTCTGTTTATTCCTCATGTTAAGACTTAGTCCAAAGTAACTTCTGCTTGGAAGTCTTTTTAGAAGATGAGTCTTTCTTAAATGCAAGTCTCAACATATTTTTAAATTCCTGAGCTTCAGACATCTTGGGCTGCCAGTGGCCCTTAAAATAAAATGGAAAATTCTTAAAAGGCCTTCATCTCTGATTACCCATGTGCTTCATGGTTGTTTCATATTCTTAGACTCTTACAGGCTCTTATTTAAAACAGGAGGTTCTTTGAGCCCTGAAATATTAGTGATTCTGCTTAATAAATAATCGCAACACCCGCCATTTCTTGTTTCTAGTTAACGACTTACCGCTTTTCTTCTGTTTGTCCTTCCTTCCATTCATCTGTCATCGTGTTGGGATAGTCATGTCCATGGGCTTAATGGAAGTAATATCAGTAGACTTGAGCATGAGGTATAATAAGAAAATTAGAAAGCCTCTGACTTTCAAAATTCGCTTCAGACAGCTGACATTAGTATTATTCAGATTTATTGTGATCACATTTTAAAATTCTAACAGTTTCATGTTATGGAAGAAGTCAAAGGAAGGCAGAAGTGGAACATTTTTTACACAGTATTTTCCTGTATTTTCTCTTAGAAGGGAGTGGTCACAATAAGCACTCTTGTGCTTCATCAGCATTTGAAAGGAAGAAGTTCAGGAAGTTTGTGTCTACAGTAGTGTTCTTCCTTGTGTAGCTTCTATAAACTTTAATTCTTTGTATCAAGAGGAGAAAGCTCTAAGAAATGCTCATTAGGCATCTAGTTAGTATAATGTTATATGTAGGAGGAATGTGGTGGATTTAAATTAACAGTATCGTGTAAGAGTAATAGCACTAAATGATAAAATTTACTTAAGTTTTAGTTTTTATTGTACATGGCTTGATGTTTTTTCCTTCATAAATTATGTCTAAAAGGGGGGAGGTTAAAGCAACAAATATTTGTAGAATGATAACCCTCTCAAGGACTGTACTGTGAAAGTTTTTTCAGGGTGTTTTGGTTTTGGTTTGGGGCTTTTTAAAGTTCCCACAGCAGTTTAGCAAGGTAGATGCTATTCATGTCAATGTTGAACCTAAGTACTGGATAATGTCTGCAGAAGGTGTAATAGCCCTCTGCTCAAGTGGAGGTGGCATATAATGCAGGTCTGCCTCTTGGTAAGCCCATATTTCTCTTTTTACTACATGAGTATTAGCACTAAAGACTCTTTCCTTAGCATTGTACTGGCTCAAGTATGAATTCCTGAAAATACACTTTTCCCACATATAAATTTTGCTGCACAGAAAGAAGACATGAGTTAAGCATATTAAAAATAGGAACTTTTTTGGGTTCAGCATACCAAAGAAGTATTCTGCATTGGTGAAGTGTCAGAGGTTGTTGGGTTCCAAGTTTTAGTGGGGAGGTGTGGGGTTGTGAAAGAAAGTTATAAGGAGACTTGCCATCTGTCATTGCCTTATATTGCCCTCACGCCATTGAGATACCTGTGATTTTTATTCTTTTATTTTCTCTGTAACTGTTCTTTATGACACTGACTGCACCATTCATAATTCATTTCCCTCCTCATTCATAGACAGTTCAGTAAAAGCAGGACTCTGTATATCCTGTTCTGTACCATTTTAAATGCTGAATAACAGAATTACAGACTCTTGTTATCAAAATCTCTTTGGTTCCTGAGATCAGATAGCTGGGAAGGATGAACAGGGATCCCCTTATTTGTGGATTGTCTGGAAAAGAAGAAAAGGCAGGAGTTTAGAGTATGGGGCAAGTGGGCGGAGGGAGGATGAGAAAAGGGTACAATTATTAGGTGAGTGAGGGTAAGTACAGTGCTACTGGCTTTTTTTTTATTATCTGACTGGAAGTCACAAGTGCTTTGTAATGTATAGCCAAGATCCTCTGTGGGCAAGTAGTGAATAAGGTAGAGAGCTTATGCCATAAATATTTGATTACTCTATTGAATTTGAGTTGGATTAGGAGCCTATTCCAGCAGCTCTTACTGACATTTGTGTTACATTGATGATGTTCTACTTTCATGCTTCTGGTCTACTTAGCCCAGTATTTAATTGGGAAAAGGACTGGTTCCCTAGTTTTAGGAATGCAAGCTGAAAGTAGTAACTTGACTCCCTTTACCTCATCTTAAGATTCCAGGTTTTTATCAGTGTTGAGTAAGATTTGAATGGACTGATTAATGAATTAGGGGATGGAATGTTAAGACTTTATATGGTTTAGTCCCTATCCCCCCACCCTCTCTTCTTTTCTGACCTCAATTCTTATCACGCTCTTGCTTCAGCTGTGACCTCCTGCTTCCTTGGTATTTCTCAAACATATCAGGGGTGTCCCTGTCTCAGGGATTTTTATACTCATGTTTCTTTCTTTCTGGTACTTCCCCCCAAAATACCCTTTAACATCCCCTCTCAAGTTCATCAAATCTGCTCATTGTCATCTAATCTGGGAGGCTTCCCTTGACCTCACGCATGCCCACCCCTCTGTTTTATTTCACTCCATATTATAAAACCACTTGGCATATTATATATCCTGTCTGCTCCCACTTGAGTTTGAAGTTCCATGGGGACAGGAACTTGGTTTTGTTTACTGTTTTGTAACCAGTGCCTAGAACAGTGTTCAGAACTGTATCTGACACTTATTAGAATGAAAGAATTGTTTCTTCTTTTTGGTGTTTTTCCCCAGGACAACATTTTTTTGTGAATGGGGGAAAAAAACCAAAAAAAATTGTTGATCAGTTCAATTCTAAAGGTTGAATGAGAGCAGAACCGTATCTCTTTGTGTCATTTTCCACCTTTTCTTTTTTTTCTTTTTTATTTTTGGTTGGGGATAGATCTAATTAAACATTTTCTAAATTAAGGTGGCATGTAATTACATTGAAACAAGCAAACAGAACTAAACAAAATGGTATTAGATAACCATAACGTAAAAAAAATACTTATGTAAAGTCTTCATTCTTTTTCTACGAAACATCAACCTGCTATATTTTGACTTTAAAACCAACCTACATCATTCACATTTTCTGTTTGGGCTAATGCCTTGCTACCTCTCTGCTTTTCATCATGTTGTCTCCTTCTACTTTTTACTTGATATTAAGTCCTACTGATCCTTTGAGCTTTCAGTCCACCTGCCAGCTCAAAACACATGTTTTTAATCATCTTGTTACAGAGCAGGAAGAGGGACACCCCAAAACCCCCAAGCCTGCCCTCTGTCAATATATTCTATCCGCCATATCAAGACAAATATGCTCTAATGCATACTGGAAAAGAACTTTAATACAATTGGTGTGCAACAAAGACAAGAGAAGGAATATAGTTTCCAAATTACCCATCCCTTGTGAGTAAATGCCCAGGCAATCAGGGCCACTGAGTCCTGAAAGCCTGCTACATGTTAAGGCTCCTTCTGGTGGGGACCCGCAGGAAAGGGGCAGAGGGGACCCAGCACAAAAGAAGCAAAATCAAGACAAAAGCTGCCATTGTTAAACTTCCCATGGGTCTCTCGCTCACATCTGTTTCAACCAGTCCAGGACCAAGATGCAAGTGCAGTTTCTTCACGTCTCTCTGTCCCATGTGCCTCCTCCAGGTCTCCTTCTTCAGAAACTTTCCATCTTTTTCCTTCGTTCAGTCTCTTCTCCAGTTTCTTCTCCCTGCTCAGCTCCTCAATCCCTTGGGTGGGGCAGGGAAACTGGAACCTACCCTTTTTCCTAGGGACCACCCTGTTACAATCTCATCCTTGCTTGTTTTGTTTACTTCTTTGTTTAAGCTCTTTTATGTGCTTAGAGCTTTCATTGATGGTTCAAGTAGTCCACCATGTTTTGGTTTTATGGGTACACCTTGTATGCTTCACTTCATCAGCTATCTTGTGAGAGCTGAGATCTTAGTGTAGTCTCATTGTCTAAGACCTAGAAAATATATGGGAAATGTGAGAGGCAGCAGCAGTTTGACAAGCCTTCAGATAGTTCAGTTATGTACATTGATATTATTAAGCTTTTTTTTTTAAAGGACTAGGCTAAACTCTCTGCATGCTAAAATCTAGAAATATGATACTTTGCATGTTTTAAGTTGAACCTAGTTAGAAGACAAAAAGAATCTTTTTCTTGAAACATCAATGAATAATAAATTGTTCTCCTTTTTGTAGATGAGTCCTTTCATTAAAAAAAAATATACCCACATTTATAAATTTGAGCATCCTTAGTAATTGTAATCTGAATAAATACTTGTTTACTTATTACTTTTCAAAGATCATGGATGTATAATTTTTTTTATTAAAAAGTTTATTTTTACATCATTTTGCACATTTTTTTTTCCATCTCAATTGTAATCCCCGTGGGTTTCCCATCACCAAATCACCCCTGTGCCACCACCATAGTCCCATGCATTTCCCTCCCTTCCCCCCCCCCCCCCATTTTTGATCCCATTCCCCATTCCACCCCCACAGAATGTCTCTGGTATATGGTTGTTCATTATTTTTGTTATTTTCTCGCCTGGTCCATTATACTCCTGCTATGAGTGAAACCATCCGGTATTTTTCTTTCTTTTTCTGGCTAATCTCACTAAGCATGATCTTTTCCAGCTCCAATGGATGTATAAATTTTAAGATGTTAAAAATAGTGTGTTGTTATCATTAGATAAACACATAGCTTAAAGAGGTAGGAATAAGCATCGTGTAAATGCTGATGTCATGTAGGAATGACACGATCCCAAATACAAATGGTGGGAACATGGGGGTGAAGGGATTCTTGAGAGGAAGGTACTTGAATGGCGATAAATGTGAATTCCTTTTTTTTCCTAGATAAAAATTTGAAGAGAGAATAGTCTGTTAGATTGATCACTTATGCTTTTTTTTTCACATTTGTAGAATTTGTAGAATCATTTGTAGAAGTTCATTTAGAAGTAGCTCAGTACTTTGATTTATGCAAGAAGGGTATAGATTTTTAACAATGCCTAAGTCATCCTGTTGTTTTTCAGTAGCCATTTCTGAAACCACGGATTAGCTATCAAATATTTTTTCTCTTTTTACTCCTATCCACACACTTAATATGGATTTGTCTTGGCTCAGCTCTGTTTAAGAGAACCCTTTTAAAAAATTTTTTTTGATTCACAAGCATTTATTCATTCCTGATGTTTTTTCACTTACCCTAGGAATTGAAGCCATATTTTATGAAGGAAGTTGGCAGTCACTTTGATGATTTTGTGACCAATCTCATTGAAAAATCAACATCACTAGACAATGGTGGATGTGCTCTAACATCATTTTCAGTTCTTGAAGGAGAGAAAAACCATAGAGCTAAGTAAGTATGAGAATTAATATTTTTTAAAGATTTATTTATTTATGCATACAGAACGGGGGTACAGGCTAGAGGTGCAGGGGCCATGAGAGGATTCACCAGAGACAGAGTAGGGAGCAGAACAGGCCGAGGCGGGGATTGAACTCATGCTGAAGTGGCTTTAGCTTCTTAGTGCTGTGCTTTAACCCACTGCACTACCAGGGAGGGCCCGAGAAATAATTTTTTTTAATGCAAACATTTGTAGTGTAGATTACCAGAATGTGGATTGCAGTAAAATGTCTAGACTCATACCCTAGCACCACTTTTTAATAGCTTTGTGTTACCTTAGGGAAATTACTTAATTTCTTGAAGGGTGAGCTTCTTTATGTAGATTATAACATGCCTGCATATCTGACCAATAAAGTAGTAGAATGCACACTATGTAAAATACTGGAGTACTCTGCATTTAAATGGAAACAGTGTGACATGAACCTCCTAAACATACACAGCTTGTAAACCAACATTAACTCAACAATAGCAAAAAATAACACAATGAAAAAAAGACCAAAGGAAGTGGGAAACCAAAGTACAAAGCATGTAAATATCTAACATGAAACAGCAGAAATTGAACCTAGAATCCAGGGCCGCTGTTCTTTACCAAATCTTTAGACTTGCCTTCCTCTTATACTTTATATATACTTGTAACTTCATGAGTAGGATATCCATTCTAACTGGCTGGCCACAGGGAGTAGTGGAGGAAGGTGATCCAGCATTTGCCACTCTCCTTGTCTTAATGCCTCTGTGCTCTCTACTGCTCTGTCCTGTTCTTCTGGACAGTTTTTACTAGAAATAGTCAACCAACATACTAGTGCTACTACTGCAAAAAACACTTTAAGAAAGTGACCTTTATAAAATTTATAATTTTAAAAATCATTTATTTATAAAATTTGAACTTTATAGTAAGTGGAGGCAACCTTTAAGACTCAGAGTCTGTTGATCCATTAGGAGGGTATCTGAAACACCAGTGCAATTGTGAGGACAGACCAATAACATAGTTTGTAAACTATGTGTAGCTGGAAAGTGTAGCTGGAAGCATGTCCCTGACCTTAGTGATGCCTGGAATGCATGTGTGTGGGAGCTGGGCTTCTGGGTCCCTTTGAGTGCTGCTCAGATTTGCTGTGCTGCCATCTCTTCCATTCTAACCAGATGTACACATACCACCTCACAGCATTGTTCAGATGAATTGAGATGAGTCACAGAAAACCTTCAATGCACCTGAGTCATAGTGAGTAGACAGTTAATGACCTTTACAGGGGCCTCCCTGGTGGTGCAGGGGATTAAGTCTCAGCACTATGAAGCTATCCATAGCCATTGCAGCACCAGTTCAAATGGCCTTGGAGTTAACCCACATGGTGCAGCAGACCGCCCCTTTCAACTGCTCCCCTCAGCAGTGTTTTATAGTCAGTCCACCTGTTCTGCTCTCTGTTCTGTTTCCGAATCCTCTCACCCTTTGCACCATCTCCAGCCTGGCTCCCAGTTCTTGTATGCATAAATAAATCAACCTTTAAACAATATTAAGGTTACATGCTATGGTTATTAATGTATTTTTATCCTTCAGTCTAAATTTCCTGTAACACTTAAATACTTTAATTTTTTTTTTTTTTTTTTTTTTTTTGCTTCTCCCAGAGATCTGAGAGCACCTCCAGAACATGGAAAGATATTTGTTACAAGACGATCACTTTTAGAGTGAGTATTTTATTTTGGTTTTGTCGATTATTAGCTTGAATTAAAAAATGAATCAAACCATTCCATTTGATGGAACCGCTACTCACCCTGTGAATGTTTAACAAGTCCTATACTTTTTGTAAATTTGCTGTCTTCTGCTCCTTTCTGATTCTTTGGTTCTGTATTAGTTTCAAAGGAGTTGGAAGTGGGAATGGTTATCTGTCCTCTGATAATTCCTATACATAATTGATTATGCAGAGAGCTAGATTCTAATAGGCAAACTACTTCCAGAGAATTTTGGTGTTGCTGCATTCTTTATATATAGATTATTTTTCTTTTTAGCTAACCAGCTTAGAGAAGTGCTAAGAATTCCTCAGATTTATTTCTTTTAGAATCCTGATTATGTGGGTTTCATGAAAAATAGTATTAGACAGTGTAAGTTAGGTATAGTGGCTTCATTTGTGAACTGAAAATTAAAGGCACTTTACCAATTAAATTGGTAATGGATATTACTTTTGCAATGCTGAGTTGATTATTAGAGTATTCCTGTTCATGTGCTCATCTTTAAAAATATATGCTATCAAATTTCCCTTTCTAAAAGTCTCTTTGGTATATACTAAAGTTTGAGAAAGCCAAAGTTTTCTGATATGTAATATAAAGTATTATTTGAGTGTTTTTCCTACACTCTTGGAAGACTAATTTACCTTTTAAAATTATATCTAGTTGAAATGTAGGTGTTTCACATGAAAGGAACAAATTAACCTATTAGTGTAAACATCATAATTAAGATTTTAGTAATTGGGGGAATTGGGAAAATAAAAGACTTTCAAATATTTTAAAGAGGGGTGTCCCTGGTGGCCTATTGATTGAGTCTCAGTGCTATCACTCAGGCTGCTATGGCCTGAGTTCAGTCCCCAGTCAGGTTGGTGACACACATGGTGCAGCAGACCTCTCCTGTCTCGCCTGCTGCTCCTCAGCAGTGTATTTCAGTAGATCTGCCTGTTCTGTTTCTCACTCTGTATCTGGAGACTTCTCTTACACCCCACCCCCATCCTGTGGACTCCACCCCAGTTCTTTTGTATGTAAACTAAATAAAAATAAATCTTTAAAAAAGTAAGTAAAACACTTTAAAAGAGGTAGCTTCTCCTGTCTACTGGTGACTATGTAGATGCCTTTCTTTTTCTCCTATTCCTAATAAACCTGCCATTTTAAAATGTTAAAAAAATAATATTTTGGCCCTCCCTGGTGGCGCAGAGGGTTAAAGCACAGCACTAAGAAGTTTAAGCCACTTCCGCATGAGTTCGATTCCTGCCTGCCCCGAAGGAGATCCACATGGCGCGGCAGACCTCTCCTGACCCACCCGCTGCTCCCCTCAGCAGTGTACTTCATCAGTCTGCCTGTTCTGCTCCCTGCTCTGTCTCTGGTGAATCCTCTCACCCTCCACATCTCTGGTCTGTACCCCAGTTCTGTATTCATAAATAAATAAATCTTTAAAAAAATAATATTTTAACAAGGAAATAAAACACATTCAGTGGCTTAGGGAGGCCTTTATTAGAATTTAAAATATTCTTAATCTAAAAATTTAATGGTAACTTAAAGTCCTCAAGAAGTTATTTAGATAAAGCATTAGCAAACATTTCTTAAAAAAAGAAGAAAAATCTTTTTTTCAGATATAAAAATTACTTATTTAGAAAAAGTAACCCAGTCTGACTCAAATACAATGATCATTGAAGGATAGGGTGAAGTAAAACATTTGTTAACAGTTATCTATAGAAGTATAGGGTGATTTTGATTTGTATTTCCCTGCTTATGAGGGATGTTGAACATTTTTTCATATGCATGTTGGTCATTTGCATTTCCTCTTTGGAAAAGTGTCTTTTAAGTCCTTCTGCCTATTTTCTGACTGGATTGTTTACTTTGTTTTTGTTGACTCCTATGAGCTCTTTGTAGATCTTTGTGATCAGTTGTATGGAGCACAAAATTTTTCTCCCAATCAGTGGGTGTTTCTTTTGCTATACAGAAGCTCTGTAATTTGATATAATCCCAGCTGTTTACCTTTACTTTACTTTTTTTCTGCTCTAGGTGTTATCTTTCAAGATGTTACTGAGATGCATGCCTTGTAGTATTTTGCCTATATTTTCTTCTATATATTCTATTGTTTCAGGTCTTATGTCTAATTCTTTGATCCATTTTGAGTTGATTTTTGTGTATGGAGTGAGGTAGTAGTCTAGCTTCATTAATTTTGTATGTAGCAGTCCAGTTTTCCCAGCACCATTTGTTGAACAAAATGTCTATGCTCCATTGCATATTTTAATGTTGGCAGGGATGTAGTGAAAAAGAAGCTCCTACTGCTGGTAGGAATGCAAACTGGTCCAACCACTATGGAAAGCTGTGTGGAGGTTCCTCAGTCTGTTAAAAGTGGTGCTAGCATATGACCCAGCAATTCCTCTCCTAGGGATCTACCCAAAGGATACAAAAACATTAATTAACAGAACACATAGACTTCTATGTTTATTGCAGCATTATTTATAATAGGTAAAATTTGGAATCAACCCACATGCCCAAAAATTGATGACTGGATCAAGAAATGTGGTATATAGGTACATTGGAATACTATTTAGCAATTAAAAAAAAGATAAATTAATGCCATTCGAAACAACATAGATGGGCTTGAAGTGATTTTGCTCACTGAAATAAGTCAGAAGGAAAAAGTAAAATACTGGATGGTTTCACTTATAGAAGGGTTATAGGGGATAAAGAATAAAATAGCAACAACAACCAGAAAAACCTACAACAAAACAAAAATAAACAGATAGCTATAAATTAGAGACACTCTGTAAGGGAGGGTGAAGGAAAGGGGTCAAATAAGAGTGGGAAGAGCACAAGGGACTAGGGTGATGGTACACAAGGTGAGCTGGTGGTGGAAACTCTTTGGGACTACTCCTGAGAAAAGAAAGTCAACAATGTAAGGAAAAATAAACAAATAAGTAAATAAAAGTATTTTTTAAAAAGGAAGCATAGGGTGGTAATCACTTATCACCCTTAACATTGTAGAGATGGGAATACCTGTGAATCTTAACATTTTAGAAATAGGTAGTACTTTATATATTAGATATAGAGAATGGAATGTAAGAATAGGATGAGAAAAACTTTAGCACTTTACATGGTTTCTGTGTTCCGTTTTTGATGAAAATCCTTTTGCTTAGAATTACAACAGCTGGCCCTCCCTGGTGGTGCAGCGGGTTAAAGCACTGCACTAAGAAGCTAAAGCCACTTCCGCATGAGTTCGATTCCCTCCTGCCCGGAGGTGACCACATGGCGTGGCAGACCTCTCCAGGCCCGCCCGCTGCTCCCCTCAGCAGTGTACTTCATCGATCTGCCTGTTCTGCTCCCCACTCTGTCTCTGGTGAATCTTCTCACCCTCTGCATCTCTGGCTTGTACCCCAGTTCCATATGAATAAATAAATAAATCTTTAAAAAAAAAAAGAATAACAACTGCTTCTCTCTTTTCTTAGGTAGGCTTTCAAAATGAACATTACTTAAGTGTTTGCTATATCTGTGCTGTTTTCTAGTTAGCAGTATCATATTATTGGAAAGAGCCTTGTCCTAGGCTCAGGTCTTGAATATTCTGTGATTGTATAAAGTGTATTTGGAACATGTATAAAGTGTATTTGGAGCATGCATTAAGCATCTTTACTACGTGGTGTTTTCAAATTAAATATAGATTATTAATTTTATTTTTTTGAACTACATTTACAGTGAGCTGTTTGAGGTGGACCACATCAGAACAATTTATCACATGTTTATTGCCCTCCTCATTCTCTTTATCCTCAGCACACTTGCAGTAGATTATATTGATGAAGGAAGGTAAGACAAGAAAGGGTCGTTGGTTAGTTGATGCATAAGATGTTGGCGGTTTCCACCCTATTTAATTTTGGGAAAAGGGTAATTTGTTTAAATGTGCTTCGGAAAATCTCAAGATGTTAATTTTGAGTATAAATTTCTATTTAGAAATCAAATATTATGTAAAAATGAATAATGATTTAAGAAAATAAATACATTTAATTAAGAAAAATAAAACTAAATAGCTTAATTGAATTTAACTTTTGCTAAACATAATCTCTTTAATATAAGATCCAGGTTATAACTTACAAATGATGGTTTGATAATTACACGTTGAATTATGTGTTTAATTTGAGGTAATGATATAGTAGTGTATTGGAGTTTTTAATTGTACCTATTTTGTTAATGATAAATCATCTTTTGTCCACAACTCTGATTGCTGTTTGAATAATTTAAGTGCTAAATTTACCATAGGTAGAATATTTTGGAGTTTAAGATTTATTAGTGTAAGAATCAAATCTTAGAGAAGTTCAGCCTTATTAGTTTAGATTATCTCAATTATATGTAAAGACTATTAGGGTTTTCAGAAAATTCACTTGTAATGAAGCTGAGGCTTAGAAGCACCTCTCTGTCTGGCACAACTCTTAACACCTGTGATCTTGTTTTGTTTCTGAAGTTGAAAATTTTACTTCTGAAAGTTTTTAATTCAGATTATAATTACATAAATCAGTGTGTATTAAAAATTCACATTTGTGTATTTTTTCTCTGCTTTTTCTCCCCAGGCTGGTACTAGAATTCAATGTTATGGCTTATGCTTTTGGCAGATTTAATATTGCCGTCTGGATATGGTGGGCCATGTTCTTGTCTACACTTACAATTCCCTATTTCCTCTTTCAACATTGGGCCAGACGCTACAGTAAGACTTCTCATCCAGTGATCCATTCTCTTATCCATGGACTGCTTTTCATGGTCTTCCAGATAGGAGGTCTTGGTTTTGGACCAGCATATGTTTTGTTAGCATATAAACTCTTTCCAGCTTCCCGGTGCATTGTTATACTGGAGCAGGTAAGTTATGTTCTGCTTGGTTAAAATAATCTATAACAGTAGCAAAAGACACTCATTCTGTTTTCAGTTGGATAAATTTTCATATCATGCCATTATCTGTAACTTGAGTGTCTACTCTTAAAATTCATTCTAGCTTCAGTGGTCTCCAGTTCTTGGTAACTGAAATTATTGAATTGTTCAGAATAGTTTGAATTATGTTGTAAGCAATTTTGTATAAAATGTATCCAAGCTAAAATATATAAAACTCCACTTTGGAAGTGTCAGATTCATTTGTTTTGCCATGTAAGTTTTTTCATGAAAAGAAGAGATCTATTTAAATTTGTTTATATACTGTCAGACTTCTCTGACATTTTTGGCTATAATGTGCTGTTTGACTAATGGAAAGGACTGTTTCAGGAACCTCTATTTCAATAGAATTTTAATCTCTTATATGTACCTGAAATAGTGCTGTTAGATGCTGCAGAACATTGTGTATCTTTGAAGTTGGTTTTTCATTGATTTTATTACCTAAAAGTGTATTGGTATATGCAAATTCAAAAGTTCTATAATCTGATATCCTTTTGGGTTTGCTTATAGGATGAAGGATAATAATAGGGAAGTCATCTTCTTTTGTCTCTCTTTGTAGATTCGTTTTATAATGAAGGCCCATTCTTTTGTCAGAGAAAATGTGCCACGTGTACTAGCTGCAACTAAAGAGAAGTCAAGTATGTAATTCCATTAGGTCAACAGGTTATTATCAATAGGGTATTTTAAACATTGGTGTTTCCTGGATAACATATTATATAGATGTTATGCTCAATTCTAAATATATAAGACCTTTATTGATTTGAAGGAAGATCTCACTATTTCCTGATTATCCTTATTTTGCCTTTCTACTTAGAATTTTAAAACATTGATGGTCAGGCTCATCTAGCTGTTATTTTTATGGAATATTAGTAGCTTCCTTACATACATGTGAGTCTCTTTTTGATTTGCTTAGGAATAACTTAGTTTAGAGGAATTGGTAATTTTAAGTTAATGTAATACTAAGTAAGAAGTCATTTTGGGAGACCAAGGAAAAACAGCATGAGTTTAAAAGAGGTAGATTCTTACTCTTTCCTATTTCGTGCTTCTTTATCTTTCCCATTTAGTTTTGTTGAGATGAATTAGACACCCCTGATGCTAAGCATAGCCTTCCTTTTCCAGGTACTGTTCCGATACCGACAGTCAACCAGTACTTGTACTTCTTGTTTGCTCCTACCCTTATCTACCGGGACAGCTATCCCAGGTAATGGCAGTATGTGGTGAGCTGCAGCAGTATGGCCTGAGTGAGGTGGGTTAAGTGGACAGGGCCAGTTCTCCATAGGCTAGAGAGCATTTAGAATTAGTTTTAATTTTCTTGCTGGTATAGGAGTCCCTCAGTTGGTGACTCTACCAATCAGCTTGTTTACAGTAATTCTTGACAGAATTATACAAATATTTCATATACCAAAAATGATATCCTGTGGGAGAATATTATGAGGATCTTAAAGCTCTGTTATCTACTTTATTTAGAAAATGTATTTTGCTTCTTCCTTTTTAGGACTCCTACTGTTAGATGGGGTTATGTTGCTATGCAGTTTGCACAGGTAGGTTTTTTTTTTACTACCTAAGGTTTGTTGATTGGTGGAAGAGGGGATTCTCATCTACAATAATAATTTAATTGTTAGTAAATTCATTAGAACTCTTGATGAAGTCTTTTAAAGTATTCTCAGTTCAGTAAATGGGATGTTCATTTTCCCGACATCAGAAGTACTTTTATTCAACTGAAAAATTTAATTTGGTTATTCACTAAGCAACCATCTTAATTTTCCTCTCCTCTTGTTTTTTTTTTTTAAGTTTTGGTTGTGTGTGTGGTGTGTGAGCTTCTGTGTATGTGAGATACCTGAACAACCCCCCTCTCCTCCAAATATCCCAAGCCCCTTTTAAAATCGTAAATCCCAGGTGATCCCATTTTAAATTCTTGGCTCATATACCCATTTATGAGATGAATTCTTTGTTATGGATTTCATGTAGAAGGAAAAACTTCCCAAGGGTATGATCTTTTAAAGTTGCCATTTGGTAAAGGGAAATTGTTGTTTGTTTGGGGAAAGAGGGGTAGAAATGACGCTTGAGAAATAACTGAGAAGGATTACTGGTTGGCAGTCTAATCTACTAATGATAAATGGGGTGTATTAAGGGTCACCTGTATTTTCTTTTGAAGAAAAAAAAATTACCCTCCATCTTTTCTTATTAAACCATCGTTTGCTTATGTTTCAGGTTTTTGGTTGCCTTTTTTATGTGTACTACATCTTTGAGAGGCTCTGCGCGCCCTTATTTCGTAATATCAAGCAAGAGCCCTTCAGTGCTCGTGTTCTGGTGCTGTGCATATTTAACTCCATCTTGCCAGGTGACATGAATAATGGTTAATTTTTCAATTCCTAAAGTTGCAAGGGAAACAGAAAGTGGTTGTGTATGAGCACTATGATTTATCTGCTTTTTTACTATCAACTCATCTTTACCTCTCTCCACCTCTGTTTCATTCTCAGGCCCTTCTTTCCATTGCTCTGCCTTTCAAACAAGTTTTGCTTTTGCTGACTTGTAGATAGTTATCTTGTATTTTCTGGTCACTATTCAGGTTCACTATTCCTTGAACTTGCTCCAGTTCATGGAAATGACCTTTGCTAAAATCACTAGTAACCCCTAGATTGTAATTACAATAGATTGTTTAGACCTTATTCTTGTTTGATTTCCATGGAGCATTGGATGTTATTGAATACATTTTGAAACCTCTGGTCATTTTTGGTTATTTCACTTCAATCTCTAGCTTCATTAATTTCTAGAGCTCTAAGAATTGAACTTCAGAAGTTGTACTTTAATTATACATACAGTTCCTTTTACTTACTCTTTCCTTTTTACCCCCTTCCCAGTAAATGTTGGTAATGCTTTCTGTCATCCTTTCTCTTATTTTTCTAGTTCCCAGACTTCAAGTAACTCTCCTTATTGCCCTTTCCCCCTCCAACCCCCTCACATACACCGAGACCGAGGTTTACTTTAATAAATTATTTTTATCTGTTCTTATAATGGGATATGTATTATATACTTGTGTCTTTCTCATTAGCCTGCAAATTCCTGGAGATCAAAGACTGTCATATAGCCAGTTACGGTCTCTCCCACATTGACTGGCAGATGCTCAGAGTATTTTTTTTTTTTTTTTTTTGAATAAAGAAGTGATTGAAAGGTGTGGACATGTAAAGGGTACTTGACAATATAATATAACAAGAGATAAGCACAGGTCTGATGAACTTTATATTTGACCTGCCAATTAATATCAGGTACTATAAAATAGGTAAGGGTTTGCCTAGCATAGAAGTGTGGAATGGTTCTTCCTAGGAGAGGTATGGAGACAAAGACACAGGGTGTTTTGGAATGACAAGTGCAGTTGGGGAAGATGTATACAGTCCTGGGAGGAGAGTTAGATATAAGTTACCATGTCACTACTGACATTTGGGCTGGGTATTCTTTGTTCTGAGAATGCTATTTTATGCATTGCAGGATATTTAGCAACATCGTGGCCTTTTATAACTAGAAACCAGTGGTACAGTCCCCATCCCTTGAGCTGGGATAACCAAAAATGTCTCCAGAATTGCCAGATATACCAGGGAGGGAGGGGCAGGAAAAATCTCTAAGTTCTACAGAGATGATTTAGAAGAATGCTTGGGGAGCAGATTTTTTTAAAGAACTTCAGAAACCAACGTAATCCTTATGTAGACATTTCTGCTAGAAGCAATCTTGGTTACTTGTTATCTGTGAAATCTTCTTGGAAGGAAGTTATTGCTTTGTAAAATTAAAATAGCTTTCAAAAGAACATCTTAGCTTCTAAATGAATAAGGTAGAATAATAACTTAACTTTACAAAAGTAGTATGTTTGCAAAAACTTCTCAATTATTGTTCATCTTATTTTTTAGGTGCACTGATCTTGTTCCTTACCTTTTTTGCCTTTTTGCACTGCTGGCTCAATGCCTTTGCTGAGATGTTACGCTTTGGTGACAGAATGTTTTATAAGGTAATCTATACTTGGACTCATCTTTTAGTACTTTGCAAATGTCTTCATGTTAAGTACGTCAGTATTATTGCTTACTAGTTTTTTAGCCTTAACACTGTGAAAAAAATTTTTTTCAAGAGTTTTAGCAACACTAAGTCTGAAATTCTGACTTAAATATAGTTAGCTAGACTTCTACTAATATCTGTATACTTAGTAAGGCATATGGTTTTTGCAGAGTCCTGCAAGAATTTATGGGTAGTTGCATCAAGAAGACATGTGTCCAGAGGGCATTAAGAGACTTTTGCTAAGTGTTCATGCATTTGGAATTGACTGGTGCTGTAGGGCTAGTCTCGGCAAATAATTATACTTCAGAATTTTGAACAGTTCATGAAAAAAATAACTTGTTAATTTTGGAAGACTTTAACTCTACTTAAAATTGTATATTTTCTTATATATACTTTTTTTATGCATACAAGAACTGGGGTGTAGCACAGAGATGTGGAGTGAGAGAATTCACCAGAGACAGTGGGGAGCAGATCAGATTGGCTGACTGAAATACACTGCCAGGGGAGCCACTGGTGAAATGAGATGTCGCTGTACCACGTGGGCCAGCTCCCTGGTTGGGGATTGAACCTGTGCTGAATTGGCTACTAATAGCTTCGTAGTGCTGAGACTTAACTCTGTTTGCCACCACTGAGGCCCTAAAATTGTATTCTTACTTACTACTTCCAAAGTTGAAATTAAGTTCTGGACTAGATCCAGAGTGTTTCCATCTTCTACAGTCTTACCTGTAGCCCTCTAGAGTTTTGTTTGTTGTCTTGACATCACTCCAAGCCTAGCATTCCTTTTTTTAGGAAATTGTGACTGTGGCTTGCAAATAGTAGACATCTGATTCCTTTAGTCCTGATGGGATTAGTTGGGGGCAAATTTATATAAAGGCATATGGGGACCAGTGGTAGCCACCATCTCATTCCTTGTATAATTTAAATTTTACCATTTATGACATCAGTGACACTTGTTAGGGTTAGCACTCGCAGTGACCTTAGAATTCTCTCATTGTGATTTAGCAAGGGGAGGCAGGTTTGCTGATAGCTATTTAGGTAAGCATTATATTTGATTGTATTACATTCAATGTATGTTCTGCATCTTCCTTCATAACTTGTTTTATAATGAGGCAAAGTGAACTAAGACTTAATCATATATGGAACTAGAGTTAATGCCATATCAAACACTAATAACCAAAGTGCCTTTTAATGGTTTTTCAGACACAAAGTATATAAACTGACTTTTTCATAGCAAACTGAGCATTATGTTTTATGTGTATCTACTTTGGAAATATTCAGGGATTACTTTAGTTTTTGTATGTGTATGTAGCTATGTATGCTATGTGTATAGTTTTACATGTTTTCTTTTTCCCTCAGGATTGGTGGAATTCCACATCATATGCTAACTATTATAGGACCTGGAATGTGGTGGTCCATGACTGGCTGTATTACTATGCTTACAAGGACTTTCTTTGGGTAAGTAGCAAGACTTAATTGATGTTATTCTGCTTTGAATCGTACTGTCAGCGAACAGTGTGCAGTTACTAGTCTTGATGCTATGTTTTTGTTTTGGATTTTATTTGACATGATTACAATGTGAAAAAAATACATAGAGACATTTAGAAGAGTCAAAATAATCTAGCAGTAGTCAATCTTTTGTTTTTTTTAAGGATTTATTTATGCATACGAAACTGGGGTACAGGCCAGGGATGCAGGGGCAGTGAGAGGATTCACCAGAGACAGAGTGGGGAGCAGAACAGGCAGATCAACGAAGTAGACTGCTGACGGGGAGCAGCCGGAGAGACAGAGTCTGTCATGCCATGCAGACATGCATGTTATGCATGCCATGCCTCTCATCTCCCTGGCTAGGGATCGAACACATGAGGAAGTAACTGCAACTAGCTTTGTAGTGCTGTGCTTTAACCCATTGTGCCACCACGGAGAGCCCAATAGTCAATCATTTCTCATATCATTCCCAACATTATCTCGTTACCAACAAATCATCTTCCCTCGGCTTTTTTAATGTTCTTTTTTGTTAAAATGGGCAAAGCCTTCATGTGAACTTCTGTCTCTCCAAGAGACTAAAGTGTCATTGTGGCATTCTACATTCTTTAGAACAGCTGTACAACAATGAAATGTAATCTTGACTCTCATGGTTGATTAATGCTGCTAGCTCTAAATTGCTCAGTTTTATTGTTAAGTACTGATACAGGGCAGGAAGGGTCACTATAAAACTGGCCAAGGACACTACCCAAATAGTTTACCAGCTACTGTCTGAGTTCTTCACCCATGTACACAATTGTAAGACTACTTGGGATCTGAGAACAACAACAATGGAATTTATTTAACAATCCAGGGAAAAAAACAGAGTTACTGAGATCAAAAATGTGCTTTACCTCACCCAAAGCAATGTCCAATGTTTTTTAGTTCTAAATAAAAGCAGCTAAGATGGTGTCTTTCTGCCACTAAGGATGTAGAGCTCCTCTCCTGAACAATAGCCACATTTCCAAGATGGTGTCTTCCTGCCTCTGTCTACCTGGAGCACAAGGCATCCAGAATCTAGGCCAGGTTCCAACTCAAGACAGCAGAAGATGCAACAAGAAATGCTCCCAGAGCTGTCTGGACTCCCCAGTGAGGCACCAGAGAAGCGACACTCAATACAACAATTACAGAGGCTAAAAATTCAGACAAATGCCACACTCACACAGCTCAGTGAGGCTCCCTGATCAGTTGCTCCATTCCCAAAATGTGGTACATTTTAGCATTTTCCCTGGGACTGTGTGTCCTCACCAGCAACTCCCCTTCCAGGGGGCACCAACTGTAACAGTCCTGGCTTCAGCCACAGGTTACAGTAAGGTACTACATGAGTAAGTTGAGAGCATCTTCTGGTGCATATAGCGCCTTACTTTTGTTTGTAAGGTTAATTTCACTTATGGAAAGACCAGCACCTTCTTTCTAGATCTTATTTTACTACCTTTAATGCTAGAGCAGATAATGCTTAAAAGATTGAAATTCGAGGTGTTTATTTTTATATGAAAACTGTTACAGTCAATCCTAGCAATTTTCAAATATAAGTTAATGTTTTTGGAAATATGCCCAGATCTCTTTACATTAATTAATGGTTTTTGAAGTGCCTCATTTTAATAAAATAAGAACTTACATGCATAAATGTATTTTGTAATACTGTAATACATTTGGATTAATAAAAGAACACATTTGGAAAATCAAATATAACAATAATCAAATAAGTGCCTTTTTTAATATTTTGATTTATCCTAGTTATTCACTAAGAAATTCAAATCGGCTGCGATGTTAGCCGTGTTTGCTGTGTCTGCTGTGGTACACGAGTATGCTATGGCTCTTAGCTTGAGCTTCTTTTATCCGGTGCTCTTTGTGCTCTTCATGTTCTTTGGAAGTAAGTATTATGGCATGTTGTGAGTACTGAGTACTATGAGAAAAGAGAAAAATAAGAAAATGGAAGTATAAAATCAATGTAGAATGTAGACACTAGGTTGTAAGCACTTAGCAGATGTATTTGATGACACATTGGTTGTGATTACCCACAACTCTGTTTCAAGGTGCTTATACTTTGAAGTAGAAAGTACTAAATAACCTTTTAAATGTGATGGATAACACTGATCAATGGTCATAAAAAAACCGTAACAGCTTCCCTAATTCTTAAATTCTTTTAATGTTCATCATCTGAGGGGGAAAAAAAACTAACCCTTTTTGGATTGGGTCGAGAGGAACAAGTTAGAACTTAAATGATTCCATAAAATATTTTCCTACCTGTTCTGAATACTCCCTGATTTCCAATTACTGATTTGTAAATTCTGACACTTTAGCTTTTATTTATGAGACCGGTGACTGGAGTGAAACATGTATGCAAACAGTTGATGCTTACTGGGGTGAATAAAATATTACAGCAGATATCTGAAGCCCCTCATCTTCTAATTGGTCACCTTTTGATGGCTGTGCTTTTTTTGTTTTGTTATCTTTCTAACTTTAGTGACTTTCAACTTCATTGTCAACGATAATCGGAAAAGGCCAATTTGGAATGTTATGATGTGGACATCCCTTTTTGCTGGTCATGGCGTCCTCCTTTGTTTATATTCTCAAGAGTGGTATGCACGTCAGCACTGTCCTCTGAAAAATGTGAGTCCTCAGAGTGGAGTGGAGAAGTGACCCATTTGCCCTTTAAACATGGGGGTCAGTGCTCCTTATTAAGGGGAAACAGTGTAGAGGACACTATGATGAGTTTATTTTAAGGGCAGGAAAGGAGGGTGAGAAAGCTTTAGCTTACTAACCAATCTTGTTGCACTGGCCTGGAAATTTTTTATTCTTTTGGTTTTCCTCACCTTGAACTTGCCCACCTCTTGGTTTTCTTTTTGTCTTTCACTGCTTTTTCTTTAGTTCCTTCTGTTTTTCTTCCTTTAAAGTGAGGGTATTCGTTAGGGTTTTCCGCAAAGGCATGTGTCGTCCCCCCCCCACCAACTACTACCTAACACACGAATTTTACCTCTTCTTTCCCAGTGTAGTAAACTATAAATGTTCAGACACTCATGCCTAGGATCCTACTTTCCTTGATTTCATCACTTTTTTTTTCCGTAATTAGGTGAAAGTCTCATTCTTAAGAGTTTAGCTTTTAATTGCATATGGATAACTCCCAAGTATTTAGGGGGTACCTATGTATTTCTATAGGTACCTAACTGCATATGGTGACTATCAATTCAATCTGTTTTTTTCTCAAAGCTTCACCTAAATGTCCACTTTTTTATTTTGTTGCCCTAAAGCTCCATCCTTACTCCTGCTTTAAACCGCCCTCTCTTTTGCATTTGAATTTCTCTGCATTCTGTTAGTGTGCATTTTGCATACTAACAAACCCATTCTCTATACTCAGTTCCACTTGTGAGATTAATTTTGACAAGATCCAATTTGTATTCAACAGCTTGCATGAAGCTTTTTGAAACTCTCATTCTGGTCTCTTTCCTATTTAATATTACTTCATCCATTGCTCAAAACACTAATTTAAACCTTGTATTATAGTAGTGTGTGTTTGTGTGTGTGTGTGTGTGTGTTGCATCTATATATTTTTTTAAAAGATTTTATTTATTTGTGCATACAGAACTGGGGTACAGGCCAGAGGTGCAGGGGTGGTGAGAGGATTCCCCAGAGACAGAATGGGAGTAGAACAGGCAGACCTACACTACTGAGGAGAGCAGGGGGCGAGACAGGAGAGGTCTGCTGTGCCATGTGGGGCACCTCCAGGGCAGGGATCGAACTTGCACCAAGGCGGGCACGGCATGGCTTAGCTTCGCAGTGCAGTACTGCAGCCTGCTGCACCTCCAGGGAGGACCCACATCTGTATATTTTATTTTCCATAACCTACCACCATTGATATTTTAGGCTACTCCCAGTCAAGTGTTCAAAAGATACAACATGAAAGATTAGTATTTGGAATTTGGTGAGAGGCCATTTGATTGTGTAGCATTGACTAGACTTTAAAAGCTTTATGTTAAGCTTCTAAATCAAATAAATTTGTACTGTAAATAATGAATAATAATTTGTACATAAAATAATGACCTTCTGTTAAATTCGTGAGCTCCTTATAGTTTAATGGTTACTGAAATGCTAGGAGGCATTTAGAGATATAGAGTATATATATTAATACCCTGTCTGCTTCCGTACATCAGTCACATAGTGCATACAAATAAGCTGTTTTTCATTCTTTTCCTCTCGAAGCCCTCGTTTCTGGATTATATCCGGCCACGTTCCTGGACATGTCGTTACGTGTTTTAGAAACTTGGATTTTGTTTCTTCTTTGACATTGAAGACTGGCTATTCTGCCTTCTTTGGGGCCACCATGTTTCCAGCTGTTACTGAAGTTACTGTGTTACTTGGACCACGCCAGACATTACACATGGTTTACTCCATTCCTAGGTCACCTGAAGCTGAGTTGTGGAAGTACTGGAATCTAGTACTCTTAAGCAGTACTCTTCCCCCACTTTTGGGAGACGGGAAACTTCAAACTGACATAATGACAGATTTTTTGTGGGATCATACTAGCTTAAGTCTTAGTAATTATGTTTTTGTTTTTTTTAATTCTGTGTAATTGGAGACTAAACATCATATTTTTGTGGCCACTGAATTAGTCAAAACACATGAAGAAATTGTAGTAATCTCTGGCTTAAAAATTTGTAATGCATATTGCTAAACTGTTTGCCAATCAACCATTCAATTGGAAAAGGAAATAATTTTTCATGTTTTGCTATTTTGAGTATGAAGAGACAAAATATCTATTTTCCAAGGTAATTTTGTTACACATATTAATTTTTATTATCACTATTTTTTTTTTTTAAGTTCGGTTTTCAGTTGTTTACTTGTTTTTCCCATGCAATAGCACATTTTCTGTCAGGCAAAAATAATGTCTTTTACTTTGAATTCTTCAGTTTGCAACCATATTACATGTTGAGGGAAATACAAAGGAGGAAGAGAAAAGTAGCACAGGGTAAAGAAAAATATTTTCTCTCCTAACTTCCAAAGTGATTTTTAAAAAGACCCAGTCATCATGCATTTGAATTAATATATCATGAAACTTACGGAGAGGTATTTTGTTTAAAGTCTAAGGAATTAAAGATACTTTTACAAGTATCTTCTGATGCAATTGTTTTATTGTCTAATAATACTAGCTTGAATTACTTTGCAGACTACAAAGTCTGTAACATCAGTATTAATCAGCTCTACTAAAATTTAAAATAATTATTAAAGATCCAGAAGCTGGCTTCTGCATTTGTTCAATTATTATATTTTAATGGTAGTATAGCGTTCTGTGAAACAAATTAGTATTTGATTATTTTCAAGAAAATGTACTCTATTATGTAATATTCCCATATTATAAGATATCCATTGGTAGCACAATGTGGTATATAGAAATTATTTTGTTTGTATATATGAGGTATAATTATGTGTGTAAAGATTGAACATTGAAAGAGATATCAGTGACCATGTAGTTCAACTTTCTATCCCACAAATGAGACTTTTATCCAAATGATTGTTACAATTTGGTATAGCCCATTTAGGAGGCTATACTGATATTCTAACAGCTCTACTGCTGTCCAGATGTTTTGGGAAATCTTGTTTGAATTGTTTTAAAGTCAGGGTGAGTCAAACAAATAGGTAAACAGGGTTTCTTTTAAGTCACAGTTTGACTCCTGCATAGTCAGACATTTTATTCCTCATACCTTTGATGCAGACAACTTTGGACAGTTCTCAAACATCAAACCCAGCTTCGACAGATAAAAGTGCACCTCACAGGACATCATTATTATTATTATTATTATTATTTTAAAGAAATTTCTGGGTTGTCTTTATTCGGCATTCCCACACACAGACAGGACATTATTTTTAAAAAAAGATGTTCTGTGTGTCCCCAAGCAGTAGTTTTGTATACTGTAAAGCAACTATAACTTCCAGCCCATTGCTTTAATATAGCTTGTAATTTCTGGCATTTTTAATAGAATAAAAATGAGTCAGTGACTTGAATTTAATAAATAAATTTTAAATTTCATGAGGAATCTGAGAAAAATTTCATAGGTTTCTGACAGATGATGAGTCGTTCTGTAATGAGAGAGAATGGAATCTTTAGATCTGTTAAGTACTGTAAATATACACTGTTACTGAGAAGACTTCTTGCTTTGTACTGTTGCTGAATATACTTGTATCTGTTGGGTTGATCAAGGCTATTTAAGAAAAACATTCATCTTCTGTGTTTATAGTGATTTCTCCTGCCCAGGATTTTTAAGTGACAACAAAAGACATTGCATCACTAAAGTCTTAGAATGCTAAGACTGACCTAAGGAAATTTCTGAGACACTTAAAAAAAAACACTTTCTGTGAAAGAATCTAATTGCATAGCCATGGTCTTATTGCTAGCTGCTTTTAGCAAAAGTCTTTTCTTTAAACCATGACCTACTCTCTTTACATAAATAAAAATGAAACTGAAATCTCTTACTAAATCTTGTTTCAGAAAGATTTATTTATTCTTGCTTGCAAATAGAGATGAAAATTATTTTCAGTTATGGGATGGTACTTTTTTCCTTGTGAAAAGTAGTGAGTATACAGTTTCTATCCTGGAAAAAGTAATGAGTGTAACCATTATTTTGGGTTCATTACCCAAGACAGGAGCTAAAATCGCTTTGTCATAAATTTATTAAAATTTTGTCATAAGTTTGTTATTCTCAATCCTGAATAATGAAGCAAAGTAGAGTTTTGTTTTGCCTTTCATTGATTAGTCTATGGTGGTTGCCTAGGTAACAAGTTGCTTGCATTATAATTTAATTTGAAAATTGAGGCATCTTTTCACCTGTTGATACATTTGGAATTAGTAGGAATGGGGGAAATGTTACTTTCTTTTTCAGTGATTGCAAGGTTAAAAGTGGATGACACTGTCAGGTTAAAAAAAAAAAACGTGTGTAACTATTCTTTATTCGTAAACACAGATCATTTTAGAGAGTAATTCATTTGGTATAGACAATTTTAGTATTGTTTAAAAATTTACTTGTATGAAAAATTGAATCTCAAAGGTTTTATAGAAAACTTGAAGTTATGTGTTTTAAAAAATTCATCATGTAGGCTTTCATTTATAAAAGGTGTCACGTACAAATTATTGAGGTCTTTCATGCAGAGATACATTTGTTTTAAATAATTTTTAGTAAACTTCATTGCTTTGTGTAGGGAAAATAATGATGGTAAAATAATAACTAGAGCAAATAGGTGGTCTGGTGTAGTGCAGGACCTTAATTGTCTCACTTAAGCCCAAGCAATAAAACATGGCATGGCTTCTGGTTGAAGCCATTAGTGGAGGGGCCCAGAGTTCTTTTGATTGGTATATCCATTTTCTCACCACAAAAATACCCACCTTGAAAATCATTTTTACTGTAAAAACAAAAGTGTCATGGATTTTTTTTTTTAATTAAAACAGCTTTGTGCTTATTTATGACATGACCTTGGTCAAAGTTGCTTATCAGATCCACAGTTTTCCTCATCTATAAAATGGAGTCAATAACTATCTCATAGGATAATTGCAAAGCGCCAACCCTAGCCAAAATAGAGCCTTACTAATCATCCATAAATTCTAAACCTAAATCATCATGGAGTCTTTCACAGTGTTAATGTTTCAAATGCTACTATTCCTGAGAATGTATGTGTTTCTTTAAAATATAGTCTCAGAATATTGTGCATTTGTATTTCATCTAGACTCATCCATAATGAAACTGGCATGAATTTACCAGGGTTGTTAAAAGCAGTCCTGTTCCCACTATTCCAAAATTACTTTTGACTTGTATGTTTAGCATTGGGGTAGGAGGTTAAGCTTATGAAAAGAAATGCATTTCTGCTTTTACCTAGGTACTTAAGCCAAGTGTTCAGTATGTATGCTTAAGTTTTAGAATTTACAAGGAAGAAAATTAATGAGACCTTCTGCTATTGTAAAGGGTGAATATAGTCAGGGAAAGTAGAGTAATAACTTTCTTAATGGAAGATTTCATACTTATTAGTAAAGTTTAAGTAATTTGCTTACTAATTTTGTGCAAAATTTAATATAAATTTAGGCATTTACATAATACAGCATATGTATATGTACTATCAAGCATATATATATACACTATCAAAGAAAAATCTGTCATGGATTTTAATTATCTCTGGGTTTTATTCTTAAACTGGTTAGAAATTGAATGGGCTAGGCATTAATCTTTTGAGGAGTACAGTGAATACTGTTGGTCAAGCTTAGACAAGTAGCTAGTTAGTTTCTAACATCATTAAGTTCTATGGGTTTTTGTAAACCCAGTTTATAAATAATAAGCTTAGACAAGTAGCTAGTTAGTTTCTAACATCATTAAATTCTATGGGTTTTTGTAAACCCAGTTTATAAATAATATAAATAAAATAAGGCCACTCTGGTTAAAACAGGGAAAGTGGATCTTTTCTCACATGGTCCACCATGCTCTTCGCTACCCTAAATTTAAAACCCAGTTTGAAAATCAATAATGACTATATTAATGGTTTTAGGTTAGTAGGAAAGAGGAATAATTAATGTAATCTAAATCCTTAATTAAATTTCCTTTGGAATAGAAGCACATTCTAAGAGCTAGTTTTGATTTGAGAATCGGAGTAATTTTATTCCCTTTTCTATCCCCCCAGGGAATAAAATTCAGATTTCTTATACTCTTAAGGTCTAAAATGCCCAATTTTCAACAACAAAAGTACTAGAGTGAAAAAGGAAGAATAACCCATAAACAGGGAAAAAGTCAATTGAAAAGCCCAGGTATTTGTATTTCACACACTCTTCTCCCCACTTCTGTCCCTCTCTGGTAGGCTCAGTTCTACAGTGAGACTTGTAGAGCTTGTTACTGGTTTGGTTCTGTTGATAGCTGACCCCCTTTTCCTCTCTCTGTTCCACATAAAAGTGAAACAGTTAATTTTAGAAGTGATATAGTTGTAAAAAATCTAAAACTGCCTCTGTATCCTTTTTTCTTCCCTCATTTCTACATTACTACATTCACATGTCAGCATGCCCTTCCCCAGGGAGTGCTAACCTTTAAGCTTGCAAATACTTCATCTGCTTTGTGATGGATTATTTGTTTGTCAAAAGAAAGTAGAAGGCTTTTTCTGTTTCAGATACCTTTGAAAGAGGAAGTAATTGGTGCACCAGGTGTTTAGAGATAGTTTGAATTCCCATGTAGAAATGTGCCAATTTGAGAGGGTTGGGAAGAATTCAAATCCCAGCCAACGCTCTGCTGTGTGGCCCAGTGTCACAGCTTCCTGTGTCCCTTACAGTTTGTGCATTAAGTCCATAGTGTTCTGAGAGATGCAGAAACGTTACGTAAACCTGGTTGCCTTAAAGGATTTTTTGTAATTATAGATGTTTTTCCTCATTTTTGTTTGCTCTTTTGCTGGGTTCCTATCCCCCATCCTTGTTTGTCTAATCGCCTGTGTTATCACATTGTACAATGTTCATTGTATTAAGTTTAGCTTAAAATTTAACTAAAAATAATTACACAAAAAATAATATACACATAAAGAAGTGACCATATTAGCTATATTTCATGTTCATCAGCAAAAGAAAATGCAAATAACTGAATTGAACTTTACTTCCTGGGAAATGGAGCAGAGCCATGGTACAGGTTACAATGAAATAAATAATGGGACCCAGTTGTCACTTTGCATTAAAAAAAAAAAACCTAGTGGAGCCTACCCTCTGATCTAAGCTCATTGTCTCATTCCTTTTGCTGTTGCTCTTTTAAAATTTTGTGAATCAGGGAATTTCTGAAAGTGCACACACACACTAACCCCAGGTGTAGAAATGGACTGATTTCTAATGAAAAGTGAGGTTTGTTGGTGAGAGGAAGTGTGCCTTTTTAGATAAGATTGGAGCAACTTATCTTACTCTAGAGACTCTCATAATAGTAACCTATTATAAGTAAGGTTGAGTTAAAGTTAGGTTCCTTTTAGGCTTAGATTGCATTTGGACCCAAATTCCTGAGTGGAATTTATAAAACTGTAACATCCGTTTGTAAGTACACCATGAGAAACACATGGTGTGACATACTCAAGTTATCCTCCATCACTAAATTTTCTCTGTAAAGCACTGTATAATGAGAGAGATAAAGTGACACTGTAAACATTAATAGCAATATATCTCAAGCACTATGCTAATTGCTGAAGATGGAGTGCTGAACAAAGGCAGAAGCAAGGTCCTTCCTGTTTGTGCACCCACGTGGATCACAAAGGTTCTTAGTGACATACTGAAATGCGTCAGTCCTGGGATTGGTGGGTCCTAATCCATGTCCTTAAGGATGTGACCCAACAGCAGATACAGAGAAAAACAGTAACAGGAAAGAGGAGAGAATGTATGGATTAGCAAATGGCCAGGTGCCACTCAGTAGCATATGCTGGGCCCAGCAGATTGAAGTCCAAGCTGAAGCCACACCTGGCAAACTAAGCAGTCCACCTGCCCAGAAGTTTGACTACCAAAGCTCTATCTTCCTTGCTTTTTCCCACCAGCCCCACTTGGAATGGAGTCTGAAAAGCTCCATCTTCTACCATGGGGTTAACTATGAGCACCACCCACTGCCTCAAAATATGCTCCTCACTTCCTCTTACAATAAGGCCACACTCAGGCATTTCAGTTGGCCGGTATCCTTGCCTGGAAGCAATTCTAGAAGCTACTGTTACCTCGAGAAGTGTTTGAGCAGTACTTCTTAGATTCTTCTTTCTTAGTACTTCCTCTTAAAGATTTATTTATTTATGCACACAAGAACGGGTACAGGCCAGAAGTGTGGGGGTGGTGGTGAGAGAACCCACAAGAGACAGTGGGGAGCAGAACAGGCAGATGTACTGAAATACACCGCTGAGGGGAGCAGTGGGCAGGACGAGAGAGGTCTGCTGCACCACGCGGGTCATCCCCCACAGCCTCACAGTGCTGTGTCCTAACCCGTTGTGCCACCGGGGAGGGCCCAGTATCCTTTTAAACATTTCTAATTAATACCTTCATATTTTTTGACTACATTAAGTAAAAGTACTGGCCTACTTCCCACCCAGACTTCTTCAGGGGAACTTTGCCTGATCTATTTCAGTGTTCACAGCTGTGTGTATAATCCCAGCCCACATGCTTAGAAAATGAGTTGAAAGAAAGATTGGTGCAAAAGCATGCCCACACATTGTTTATTGTTCTTTCCTGTTCTGAGCCATATATGGTGATCGCGGATGGGCTCTCTTCTAAGAGAATGTTTTGTCCACTTGAATCCTAGAGGGAAAACTGCTGAGTTTTAAGCTGCCACAACAATCAGGTAACACCAGCTAGCAAAATTAGCCCTTTTTACACCTATGGCTAACTCACTTTGTCTTGGTTTTCTATGTAGGAAAATTGGCACTGCTCATGTAACAGGGACCTCTCCATTAAAGGGGGAGGCACCATGTTCTCTGCAGCCATTTACATATAACGGCCCTGGAAATGGGGTAGAACTGAGTGGCCAGGTGAAGCTGAGACAGGAAGGGTCCTGGGACAGAGACAGGGACTGGACTCAAGGACAAAAATGTTGCTGTTCTCAAGGGCTGGGAAGTAAGAGGTTAAAATCTGATGACTCCAGGCTGGGACAGTTGCTACCATAAATTTCCTTGGCTCATTGGTTACCCTTTCTGAGCTATCTTTGCACTGCTGATGGAGTTGGTTGCTATGAGGAAAGGGGGAGTTAAAAGACCCAGAAAAAAGAGGGAGTTGCTGACCTTGAGACCAGACTGGTTCAGTCTGGAGCTGCAGGCACACAGCCTCCAGAGATGTTCACCTTGGAGATGGCCCTGGAGCCCCGCACCGCCCTGAGCTGCAGCTGAGGGGGACTCACAACCAAGCTCACAACCAAACAGCAACCAACTTTAGCTAAAGCCACTCTCCTTGCTTTTGCAGCCAATAGTCTCATTCCTTTGTTCTCAAAACCTGATCCTAAAACCTATATCAACTCCAAGCCCCAGCCCCACTTGAGTCTCTCTCTTATGCTCTGAGAGGTCTCCCAGCTCTTCATGCTCTTTCTCTAATCAGTAGACCCTGGCTCCTTGTCTGTCCTGACCCAGTGTCTGGGAACAGAACCCCTCAGTTCTACCATCTCACTCACAGCAAGTGGAATAGTGCTAGACTATCTGACTTTTGTGGGGGAGGTTAGGATTGGACTAATGGGCCCTGGGCCTGTTTCCTTGTCCAGTGACAAAGCCATTACCACATGGAAGGCAGGTGGGCTCAGAGAGAGACATGTGGAAAGGGCCTTGCTTCCTTCTTGGATTTAGACTGGCACCAGGATCTTGGGACTTGGAGGTGACACATGGAAAGGAGACGTGAGTGAGAGACTGGGAGGCTGACAATGGCAGCCTTTATCTTGATTTGTACTTTGATTTTGTTCCTTTTGTCCCAGACTTGCCTGGTCCCTTTTCTTCCCTACTTATGGTTCCCTGCCAGAAGGTGCCTTACTTGCAGCAAACTCTCAGGCCTCACTGCTGCCAACCCCTCACGCCACCCCCCACCCCCACCCCTGTTTGGCTGGACATTTACCCATGAGGGAATGGGTAACTTTGGGTGTTTTGTTATTTGGAATATTCTTTCTATGTACACTAACCCTATTAAACTTCTTTCACACAAAGCACATCAAAGAATATGCTTTCTTTTTGTTCATAAGAATGGCCAGACGCCTTCAGAGTTTGGGACCATAGGTTACACTTTAGTCTGCACTTTAACCCTCATCTTACATTTTGGTATGGTATTTTCCATCAAAGACCCCAATAATACTTTTCCTTATTCCCTTCCAGGAGTCCCTTGGTAAAATACAAAGTTACAAGGAGTTTTCTAAGAGTAGCTACTGTATTCTTCAGCAGCAATGGGTTCATTGTCATAGCCTTTATTCTCATCTATTCTGTGCTTACAACTTCATTTACTTCTGCAACTTTAACCCAGACCTTTGCTGTGAGCTTCAGACCTAAGTACCTATGCTCAAATAGTTACCTTCCTTTTCCACCCAGACATCTTAAAATGCCCACAAATTCTAATGTACTTTCTCCAAAGTTCTGTTCCAATCTGTTCTTCCTCCTGTTCTGAGTCTCAGTGAACAGTTTGTATAATCATCACACCATTGTACAGAATAGAAAATGAGAAATTGTCTTCATTTATTTTTATACCACAGACACCAATCCTTTCCCAAATCCTATAGATTTTATTTTCTATGTATATCTTGAATCTGTTTACTTATCTTAGTCTCCTCTTATCAGTAACCTACTCAGGTTTTTTAAAACTAGGGTAAGACTATGAAAGATGGATTTCTTTATTCTTTCAGTACCTAAAGCATGCAAGCTAACTTTGGGGGCCATCTGAAGTTCAGGATCATGTCATGATTCTAAACTCCAATGTGGAGTCACATGGGTGAGGATGGAGGGAGACACTAAATTTGGGGAGAAAAAGGTAACTTCTCCCTACTTGTACAAGGCTTCCGGCCCTTATGTGTTTTGATGACTGCCAGTTTATAATCATCCATGTGCTACATATCTTATTTTGGGGGAAATAGGATTAAAGTCTAAATTACTCAGATATCCAAGGCGACTAAAATTAAAGATTTTAGTGCTTGTTTATAACACGTGTTATTTCTCATTGCTATGACCATGGAAACCAGAGACTTAAGTCTATCAAAACGGTGGAATTGAACCGACCCGCTGATTGTCAAACATGTTTGAAGATACTTGAGTCCGGTTGAAAAACTTTCTTCCTTCTTGAAATTTGTTTTCAAGACTCGTGGTTATCTAGACTCAGGGATTCCATTGGCATTACGGCTCCATGTTAACACAGAATGTTTCCTGGTGGTGATAAGAGACGGGGGCCTCGACCATTTGATTCGAATGAGTTTATCACATTCTCTCCTGAGAACCCGTTTTTCAAAAAGATCTAACCATTCTACTTGAGTTGGCTCCCCCTAAAGGGCTAGTTGTGTTGTGCCACGTTTCGAGTTTCCCAAAGACCACCAAGGAGCCCGATTCCATGCAAAGCACACGAGGGTCTTTATTGCAAACTGGAGCCTGGGCTCCCAACATGCAGGGATGCAGCAGCCCTGAGCTCAGGGCAGGCAGGGTTTTTATTACAGAAGAGTGGAGTTTCAGCCCAGCAGAGGGGAGTTTTTGCTCAGCAGTACATTGATTGGTGGACATTGAACAAAGTTATCTGGCCTTAACCAAGTTGGTCTATGCATGTAAGTTGTGACCTTCACTACTCGGCCGCATACCTTAGGACATCTGGTGTTTTCCTGATAGGTACCCGTTACTTGCCTAATTGCTCATTGGCTGTTGCTAGGGGATGAGCAAGATTAGGACATTTACAGATAAACTCGGCCTTGGCGCCTTGTTGATAACCGAAACTTAGGCCTGGCTGGTTCAGAAGCACTCTGAAGCCTGTCATGGCGTCAGTTTGGTCTTTCAGTTCCTTCCCTGTCTGTGAATGAATGAATGAATGAATGAATGAATGAATGAATGAATGAATGAATAGGGATGCTTCCAGCTCGCTCCACAGGGCAGTACTTAACAGTCCAAGGAACACACGATCAAGATACTAAGGACAGGGACAGCACCCCAACAAAATCTTAATTGATGTCAACCCAGAGCTTCTGATTATCCAATTTCCTGCTTACTTTGGCTTTTAGGAAAATATGTGAAACAAACAGTGGGCTAGAGCGATGGAAAACAATTTTAAGGGTTGCTTTTGCTCAAATACTCCCACTTCCTACGTCCAAAGAGGAGCTTTAAGAAGTAGGGGAGGAACACAGGGTGCAAGCCCCGCTTTTCTGGCGCCTGCGCAGTGGCGCCGGCCTGCGGGCAGCACCCCTGGGGTGAAGATACTCTCTCCGTGAGAACGGCGGGATTAAACTTTTTAGTTCTCTACTTATCACCACCGAACCTATGTTGTGATCTAAAACATCGGGTCTCCCACAGGTTGTTGGGATGGTGTCTTTCTCCTCCGTCGGCACCGCCGAAGGCAGCCCCTATTGAGGGTCACGGAGGCTCGGGGTCCTGGGTTTCTATGACAACACAACACGCAGGCGTTCTGGGAAAGGCGAGGCGACAAGATGCCTGGCGGGAAACACAAATTTCCAGTACGAGCATCTCGAGTTTGTGCTCCGTCACTTTGCAGAAACGCCGGGAACTCTGCCTGACGCACACTCATTGGAGCCGCGGAGTCCGAGAACGCGGTTGGGGGGAGGCCGGGGACCCAAGCTCACCGGCCAGGAGCGAGGGGCGCCCTCCCTGGGGCGCAGTCCCTCGGACGGTGGGGTGGGCGGAGCGCCTTCTGGCTTGGCCCGGGATCCGGCTTCGCGGTCGCGTCAGGTGACCCGAGAGAGCCCAGAGGTCTCCTCAGAGAAGGAAAGCTCATACTAGATGAACTGTAGACTTCGACTTTAACATAAGCACTTAACGGGTTTCTTTCTTTTCCTTTTTTGCCTTCAGGACAGTGTAGCCGCTCAGCCAAATCCTGAACGCCGCTGATTTGTTGCTAGGTTAGCTTTCTGTAGGAATATTTTGAATTACTAAAGTGATGGAGTGATAGGTGGCATTGTTTATGATGTCTCCCTCGAAAACGCCATCTGCCTTGGTAAACTCCGCGTCAACACCTATGGGCAAAAGATTAAAATTTTTATCCAAGGAAGAGACAGGTAAAGTTCTTCACGGATCTCCCAGACACAGTGTTGACACCAGACAGAAATCAGAGGTCATCTACTGTTTCCCTTAATCGGAGATTTTAGGATACCTTAATTAGCTTCGTTTTCCCAATACACTGTTTCTATAAAGCCATTCCTTCAGTCATTCCTTTTATGGTATTTTGTAATCAGTCCTGTTTCACTTTTCCACCTAAGACTGTGATTTTACCCCAAATGCGGAGGAGTTTTATATTGTCTCAAATTTTCCCTATTTTAAATACCAGCAGGTACATGAAACAGTACTTTTTGGGTATCTAGTATATGACCATAAGGAACTTAATAGTGGTGATAAAAGGAAGATAGGAAATTTAGTGCAGTATACAAATTTGTTCTAGGTTTTAGTAGTTAGTAACTCTAAATAAAGTAATTTCTCATTGAAGTTTTCTATTTATATAGAGGTAACAACATGCAGATCTGGCCGAGAATAATCAGCTACCCATATGCTAAACTTTTACATATTTTTGTTTCCTCTGCTATTCTGACGCCATCCTAAACTTTTAAGAGATTTGGTAATGTGACCTTGAGAGGTTTTGATGTCAATCAAAGCATGATACCTCCTTATAGAAATAAACATAAACTACAGTATGGAAGGGCATAGATTAGTGCCAATTCTTCAAGAGGAGTGACAATCCAGTTCTGCTTGATTGACTTACAGATCTTTTCCTAAATTAGGACAAACCCTATTCCTTTACAAGTCCTCTGCCTTACTCTTATCAGTTTTTTCAGATTATTCCACACTCTGCCTGCCTTTTCAGCAATCTGAATTCTTTTAAATCCTACTCAGAACCCGTCCACTCTATACATGCCGCAATCTAATACTATTAATTTCACTTTTGAGCTTAGATAGAAAAAATAACTAAATAACTTGACAGTTTTGAGAAGATTTTCTTTACTACTTCACATCAAAGGGAAAAGCAATATTCCCATTATTTTATGGCTATCCTAATTAATTGAACAAGTGAAGTGAGTTTAATTTTGGAATAATGGAGGTTGATACAGGTTTATGAACCATTGTCTGATGTGTGAGATACGTGTTTCTTTTTCTTAACTAGATGATATTCAGTCTTTAAATATTTACTATTCAAATTAGAAGCAATTCTAAATCAATCAGTTAGAAGCAATGTTTCTCTCTGTTAAAAATGTATAGATGGGATTGGTGAGACAACCTGGGAACCTCTAACTCTCCAAAAACTGTAGTAAACTTTTCCTCTCCATTACTTTCTTAGGACTTCCTGAACTAAGGGAGAAAAAAAATATGATGGATCATTCAAAACCCCTTCCTACTTCCCTTCAGAATGAATTCATCCCCCAGGAAGTTCTTGTTTCTCTGACCTCTGCAGCTAATGCTGGCCCTTGTCCAGAAAACTTACTGCCGCCTAAAAAAATTAAAGCCCCAAAGGTGTGTATATACATATATATAGAGAGTACTTAGAAACACTTATCATTTAGGTATCCAGTTCATTAAGTATTTATTGAAGTGAAGATATATAATCTAGATTGTCTTAAAAATTATTTGAAAGTTAATTTTGTAGTTTGAGGGCCTCACTGGTGGCCCAGGATTAAAGTCTCAGTGCTCTCAAGCAGTAGCTAGCTATGAGGCCTGAGTTCTATCCTCGGCAGGGAGCTGACCCACATGGAGCAGCAGACCTCTCCTGTCTCACCTGCTGCTCCCCTCAGCAGTGTACTTCACTGACCTGCCTGTTCTGCTCCCCACTCTGTTTCTGGTGAATCCTCTCACCATCCCTGCATGTCTGGCTTGTACTCTGACCTCCACTCCCCCCCTGCGCCTTGTTCTACACTTCTTGTATGCATAAATAAATAAGGGTAAATATGTTTTTTACAAAAAATTTAATTTTGTAGTTTGAGAACTAAAATCATTTGCACCAGATGTTTCCAAAGGCAAAGCTTGAATAAATCCATTAGCCTGTTTTTATGTGATTTACTAAAATGATCACTATTACTCTTTGTCTTGATATTTCTCTTTCATTATTAATTGTTCTAGTTTTGATAAACTCATAGTATTGAAGAGGGTGTCTCCTTTTCCTATAGAATATCCAATTGCCTTTAATGTAATTATTCCAAAGGATTAATAGACTTAATATGACTAAAGCGCCCTCTGCTGTGTGATTGTTTTTTGTTTTTTTCCCAGGGTACTCTTCCCCGCTCTGTTGATGGAGTGTGGCAACACCCTCTTCGAAGGAATAAATTCAGATATTTGATTGACCATCCTGTTTCCCTAACAGGAGCTGGAAGGTAAAAAAAGGAAGATAGTGAGGTAGATGCAAATGAATAAGTTATTTTCACAGTTAGCTTTCCGAGGGAAGGGCATGTTTGAGAAAACCCAGAATTTTAGTTTTTTTTTGTAAGTCAAGGTAAACATTTATTGTTCACTGAAGTCTATGACCTGAATTTGATTTTAAGGTTGACAGTGTCTTTGATGCGTCTGTACAATTTGAAGAGGGCACAGGAACCATCATTTTGTGTATGTTTTCCAATAGGTTGGCAATAGGTGCTGGCTCTACCTACTCTGGTTTGTTTAGATTTGCTTTTTTGTATGCTTCTGTGTGCTCCTTACTCCCCTTCCTGGTTGTACCCTAGAAAAGAGGACAGGAGCAGACAAGCAGAATGCCTTTAGGTAGACAGTATAGCTTCTTGATGCAGAAAACCTTGAAAAACAAATTCTTCATTCTTGGTTTTCCTCAAAGTGAACCCTTAATCTTTTTTTAAAAAAAATATTTATTTATGCATACAAGAACTGGGCTACAGGCCAGAAGTGGGGAGGGGGGTGAGAGAATTCACCAGAGACAGAGTGGGAGGCAGGACAGGTAGATGTACTGAAATACACTGCTGAGCGGAGCAATGGGTGGGTCAGGAGAGGTCTGCTGCGCCATGTGGGTCACCTCCCAGGTGGGGGATTGAACTTGTGCTGCAGTGACTGCAGACAGCTTCATAGTGCTGTGCTTTACCCTGTTGTGCCACCAGGGAGGGCCCTGTGAACACTTAATCTTTGCACTGTTTCAGGCCAGTTAACAAATGATATCTGTTGTCTTCATATCATTCCTAAAAATATCCTAAATGTCATAGTTTTCCCTTAAAAATTATGACCTGTTCACTTTCTATCTATTGTCCATTTATCGGTTTTTTTTCTGCCTACACCTTACTGAAATGTCACTTCATCTAAAAGAAATTTTTAAACTTTTACAATATATGGAAGGTTATTTAGTATTTCTGAGTTCTGTTTTCTTCCTTATAATTGACTCACTCTCTTTTATGTATCTCCTAGGGTTATTGCAAGCACAGGTGAGATAATAGAGGCAAGGGCACTTGTTAAACTACACAGTGCTATTTAAGTAAAAGGTGTTAGTACTCAGCTATTTCTTTGTGCTAAGAAAAGTGACAGAAACGTGGTCCATAGGCTTTTGTGTTCTGGGACTTGAGTGTCAAAGTATCTGTACATTATTTTATACCTTCAGATCATGGTTATGATTATTAATAGTAATAATGAGTAGTGAAGCGATGTTGGAAGTACTTAAATAATTCATTAGCTATGCACTAGCAGCACTTACAGGTCAACAACGGACTAAATATGATGGTGGTCTCAATAGGCTACACTGTATAGCCTATGTGTGTAGCAGGTGTGTGGTCTAGATACTCTCCAGTGCTGGCACAATGGTGAAATTGCCTATCAAAACATTTTTTAAAATATATCTCTAACATTGGAGCTGGAAAAGATCATGCTTAGTGAAGTAAGCCAGAAAGAAAAGTAAAAATACCGGATGGTTTCACTCAGAGCAGGAGTGTAAAGGACCAGGGGAGAAAATAATAATAATAATGAACAACTATATACCAGAGACATTTTATGGGGGTGGAGTGGGGAATGGGATCAAAAACAGTGGGGGGCGGGGAATGCACAGGACTATGGTTAATGCACACGGGTGATTTGGTGATGGGAAGCCCACGGGGATTACAACTGAGATGGAAAAAGGCACAAAATGATGAAAAAATAAACCATTATATTATTAAAAACTGTATATCTCTATCATTAAGGGATTCATGACTTCATATCTGAATGCAGCCATAAATTGACATCAAATATTAAGTGATTTCTGACTTGGGGTTTTTCTATGTGCAGGTCTTTGTTGTACCTCCCTGCCCACACCCTCTTCTACCCCCCTGTTGTCATTGTAATCCTTGCAACTGTAGCAAAAGGAATTTTGAAGATGTGATTAAGATTAAGGATTTGGGGCTGGAGAGATTATCCTGGCTTATCAGTGTGGGTCCAATCTAATTGCCTGAGCCTTCAGAAGTAGAAAAGGAAGGCATTTAATGGGTCAGAGAGATGAGACAGGAGGAGGAAGACATTCAGATTCCAGGGCGGGTAGGGGAGAGGACTGGAGAGAGAGGGATTTAATCTGCCGTTGATTTTGAAGATGAAGATAGGAAGAACTTAATACCTAAATCTTAATGTATTGGACCTGAGATTAAAAAAATTTTTTTTTTGATAAGCTGCTAAATTTGTGGTAATTTGTTATGGCCAGTAAAAAATTAATAGATGTGTACACAATTAATATAGTACTCACAACAGGAGGTAACTTGTCCAGCAACTTTAACTATGCAGAGCATAACAGTAAAATACAAAAGAACCAAGCAGATAGCCTCTGAGTTATTTTTGACACCTTCATTTGTCAGAGCTCAGTGCAGAAAGTAAAACACTGTAGATATTTTAAACAGGAAAAAGTGGAATGCAGGAAATTGAGTATTTTTAAAATTGTTGCAAGGGCTAAAGGAGTATTTGTGTGTCTATGTCTTTGGGAACAACTTCTAGAACTGGAATTAACCTCTTATAGAGGTTACTACTTCCAAGGCTGCCACAAAAGTTTTCGGGAGTATTTACTCTTGAGTAGGCATTTAGTCTTTGAACAGTTGTTCACAGATGATTAAAATGGCTTAGTCAACACAGGAAAAGATGGTCTACATCACTGGCCACAAGGAAATGCAAGTCAACTTGCAATGAGACCCTAATCACACTAGGATGGCCATAATAAAAGACAGACAAGAACAAGTATCTGTGAGGATGCAGAGAAACTGGAATTGATATACATTGCTGCTGGGAATGTAAAATTATACAGTGTCTTTGGAAAACAGTTTGTCAGTTCCTCAAAAAATTAAGAATAGAGTTACCATGTGATTTAGTCATCCCACTCCTAGGTATAATTATGCACTGCATAATGACATTATCATCATCAGGGAAATAGTGGAAAATAACTGGTAAGTTAGCAGGAGAAAGCTTTATCAGCTTTCTGAAGAATGTTTGCAGAAGATAAATGGGGATGCTGGGTACAAAAATCAGGTTGCAGGGAAATTTCAAGAAGTCTGATTAACAGAGAGTGATAAGTAGGTAGGTAGGTAGACAGATCATGATAATATGACAGCAATGAATGGTCAAAGGAAGGTTTTTAGAAGGGGGATAATCCTGAGTTAACAGACAAGGAGAATGTTCTATTCGAAGGGGAGAGAGGCACACAGAAGTTAAGACTGATGGAATGAGGGTGTGGGCAAAGTTGAAATCAGGGACATGCACTGAGAAAGAACCCTGGGGAAGAAAATGCATCTTAACCTGAGATTTAAGGAAAGGGAAAGTAAGTATCTGATGTGAATGAGCAGCTTGAGGTGGAAAAGGGGAAGAATGAGGGGGAGATAAGTCTATCACTTCAGCTTCTTAATAAAGTATGAGAAGGTTGTGTGTGAACCTCACCTACTCTTCTCCATTAGCCGGACAAAACCAAAAAACTTATTTTGTAAATATATTTTTCTTATAGGGATATTTCTTTTCTGTATGACGTGAGATATGTTAAAGGAGAGACTAGAGAGGGTGCAGTCTGTCCTCCACGTTCCAGCCATTCATTACAGCCACCTGATGGTGTCATTATGCCTCATAAGGTAAATAGTGGGCAAGTAATTTCCTCAGCCTTTCTCTGCTTAAAAAAGTCATTCCTCAAAATATAAAGCAATATCTTATCAGTTTTTATAACCATTTCTAATTACATCTATAAAAGGATATTTAGTGGGAAAAGATCAAAGATATCTTATTTTAAAATATTTTTCAAACCACACTTACACATTTTAATCTAGAAAATACAGTAGGAGACTAGATTTATTATTACTATTATTTTTTAAGAGAACCACAACTTAAATGCGGAATTCTTACTTTTGGCATATCTAAGGTGGCTATTAAATTCCTGTTGAATATGAAAGCATCAGTGAATTTCTGAATATGTAGGACACATGGAATTAATATTAAAACCATGGTTATTCTCTAATTCATTATTTTTTGTAATTCTGATAGAAGCTCTGCTGAAAGTTTGGTCTTGTCATGGCCACTACTAACATTGTTAGTTCTCTAATTAAAATCTCTTAGCTACTGTCACCCTTAGGGATAGCAGTCAAGAATTGTGCTACTCAGTTTTGTTTTGTTTTTATCTACTAATATTTTTATTCTTGTTATTCTCTTTGTAAGCCAAAGAAACTGACGGATACTTTGATTCCTGAAGAATTTCATATTGTGTCAAATACAGGTGTCTCAGGTTTGGAGTGTTATGATGAGTGAGTACTGTGGCAGCTACTGAATAGCAGCAAGTTAAACTGTTTCCACCTTCCCAGACATAGAAGAACTTAAGAACAGTTCTGTCATGTTGCTAGGCAATGTCTGCCAAGGAAACACTTGGCCTATCATCCTCATAAAATATAAGAAAAGTATAAAAAACTAATGAAAAAGTTGTTACTAAAGGGATATTTTGTGATTAAGATGTGCTGTCTTTTCTTAGTGTTTAATTTTATATTTCAAAGAAAATAGATCTTGGTTTTACATGCTTAACTGTACTTTTTGCCCCCAGATTTATTTATTTATGCACACAAGAGCTAGAAGTGTAGGCCAGAGGTATCTGTGGGTGGTGGGTGGGTAAGAACATTCACCAGAGACAGAGTTGGGGAGAAGTACAGTGGGATCTACTGAAACACACTGCTGAGGGGAGCAGCAGGCAAGACAGGAGAGGTCTGCTGTGCCCTGTGGGTCAGCTCCCTGGCTGGGGGTGGAACTCATGTTGCAGGCTGCTGATGGCTTTGTAGTGCTAAGACTTAACCCCTTGTGCCACCAGGGAGGCCCTTGACTATACTTCTTTAGTAATGGTTTGAGTAATGACTCTGAAAACAAAGGACTAGCTTTCTAAGCTGGAATCTCTTAATGCATTTTCTCGAGTTTAGCTTGTGACAGCTGACTAGTCATCTCCAGTTCCTTGATTCCTGTTCATGGGATTGAACATAGTTTTTTGCGTTTATCTTCTGAAATAGCACTGAATGTTTCACGATTTAAAAGACTACAGCTTCAGGGCCTCCCTAGGTTAAAGTCTCAGTGCTATCAAGTTATTGCCAGCCACTGCACCTCTGAATGAATAGACCATCTCCTGTCTTACCTGCTGTTCCCCTCAGCAGTGTATTTCAGTCAGTCTGCCTGTTCTGCTCCACACTCTGTCTCTGGGAAATCCTCTTACCCTCTGCACCTCTGGCCTGTTCTTTTTTTCTTTTAAAGATTTATTTATTTATGCACACCAGAACTGGGGTACAGGCCAGAGGGGGGTGGTAAGAGGATTTACCAGAGACAGAGTGGGGAGCAGAACAGACAGTTTGATTGAAATACACTGCTGAGGGGAGCAGTGGGTGAGATAGGAGAGGCCTGCTGTACCATGTGGGTCAGGTTCCCTGGCCGGGGATCAAGCTCATGCTGCAATGGCTGCAGAAAGTGTGCTTTAACCCACTGCCCCACCAGGGAGGGCTCAGTACCCCAATTCTTATATGTATAAATCAGTAAATCTTTAAAAAATGAGACTACAACTTTTAGATGAAGTTTCTATAACAAATATCCAGTGTCACTTTCACATTATTTCACACATCTGTTCTTTTTATTTTTATATAACCTAAGGATTATAAAAAAATTACAAGGAACTCCCATATACTCCATCTTGATTCACTGAGTATTTCCATTTTTCATTTTTTGCTTTACCACGCACACACATATACACATACACTTACAAGAGTAAGTCTTTTGGATATTTTTAGCTCCATCATTTGCTTTATATGTATTAGTTGACATTTGCAATCTTGAACTTCAGTTTTAGTTAGTGGGCTGTAATTTTATTCGATTTATATATATATTTTAAAGATTTATTTATTTGTGCATACAGAACTGGGGTACAGGCCAGAGGCTCAGGGGCGGTGAGAGACTTCACCAGAGACAGAGTGGGGAGCAGAACAGGGAGATCTAAGAAGTACACTGCTGAGGGGAGCAGCAGGCAGGTCAGGAGAGGTCTGCCACGCCATGTGGTCACCTCCGGGGCAGGCGGGAATCGAACTCATGCGGAAGTGGCTTTAGCTTCTTATTGCTGTGCTTTAACCCGCTGTGCCACCAGGGAGGCCCTCGATTTATATTTTGATGTTCAATTTCCCCTACATGTGGACAGTGGCTGCTCTGTTAAGGTGGCTCTTGAGTTCTTTGGACATTTTCTCATCACTCCTGGAATGTTCCCTCTCTGACTCGGTAGGGTCTCCAGGTTCATCTTGTATTCCCAACCTCCAGGTCTGCAATGAGCTATGAGTCTCATCTCCAGGGAGTACTGAGTCCTTTTAGTGGGTTATGGTACTTAGGAACGGAGATCTGAATGTTAGGTTTGCTTATTGCTCTGGGAATATTAGTTCTAAACTTTTCTCACACTCATTTCTGATAATTTGTGGCTACCTTCATAGGGCTGTGCTTTAACCTTTTGCACCACCAGGGAGGGCCCTGATGTGGTTTTCATTGTAATACTTATGGAAGTATAATCAATCACTTTCAGAGGACAGCTAGGGCTGGGAGTTAGGAAAACTAGGTTCTAGTTTCATCTCTGCTTCTTATTAATTTAATAACCTATTTATCCACTTTGTTGATATCAATGTTCTTATAACATCCTTCCACCTTTGAAAAGGTAAACTAAATCATGGAAATGTTCATATTGTAACATATTTTGGATTGTAATGAAAGCTCCTAAAAAATGTTCCAAATATGAAAAATATTACATCTGTGACTGTCTATGTCTTAGACTATTTTGGCATGATCTTAAGTACAAAATGATTAATCTATATGATTGCATCAATCTTCTCAATTCCATAGTCTTTAGTTTATCGTGTTGTGATATGTGACAAGCCCAGTGATTATCTTACAGTAACATTTTCTTATTTTATTTATTCTAGCAAATATACTACTCTCCTCACCGACAGTGAAAACAGATTATTGCTCTTCCCATCCATGTAAGTAAAATTTATTTTTGAAAGTGTTTCTTAGAAATAATATATACATATGTATTCCTTTTTCTTGGTAATTTATTATACAAAATCTATTTTAATTACAGAAGAAACAATAATTGCTTACAATTTTGTTTTCTAATTAGTGTTTTCATTTCTTCAATTGTATGTTCAATTTTTACATATTTATAACAGTATTCAAATAATAGACTGATCATTTCAAATTTCTATTTTCCCTTTAAATAGAACACTTACTTAGTAAAATTTGAAGTGTGCAATACATTATTGCTAACTATAGGCATACCATTGTATACAAATCTATAGAACTATTCACTTTGCTTAACTGTCTTTTGGCCATTTTTCCTTATGACCACCCCACACCTCCCACCCCTGGAAACTACCATTTCATTGCTAAGCATTGAACTATTTTAAATATCTCATGTAAATAGAATTGGGTTGCATTTGTCTAAAATATCTAAATGGCTTATTACATAATGCCCTCCAGGTTCATTCACTGAAGACTTCATTTTTTAGGGCTCAATAATACTCCAGTGTGTGTGTGTGTGTGTGTGTGTGTGTGTGTGTGTGTGTATACATCACCTTTATCTACTCATTGTCAATGAATGTATGAATGTTTAGGTTGTTTCCACATTTTGTAAATAGTTTGGCAATGCAGTGAATGTAAAAGTGCTAATATCTCTTGGAGTTCCTAATTTTAGTTCTTTTGGATATACTCAGAAGTTGGATTGCTGAATCATATATAAAATACTTTCATATTTTATATTTAATCATAAGTATTTCTCCATCTTGCTATAATCTTTTTTCTTCTCCCTTTCCTCTCTTCTTTGTCCCTTTTCTTCCCTTATATTGTAAAGTAACCCATGTTAAGAGCTTGGTATTTATCTCTCCATGTTTTTTTCTATGTTCTTAGACTCCTACACAGTGGGTATATAGAATTTTTCCCTGGTGGGGGTGGGATACGTTGTTTTCTTTTTTGAAGGATAGGATCATGCATTTTCATTTTGCTTTTCTTTCTTTTGTTCTTTTTTTTTTTTTTTGCTGTCTTTAAAATTGTCTTGCTGATATCCTAGAAGCATATAGGTCTAATACTTTAAAATGCCATTAATATTCCATAGGTATTTGTTTTCTTTATGTATATTCTCTTTGCCATTTGATCGTGATTATTTTAATACTAATTGACATATGTCTGTTACCTTAATCTTATAGGAAACCTAATAAAAGAGTAGAAGTGGTCCAGCTAAATGATGTGATGGATACTATGCTAGAGAGGGCTGGTGTGGAAATTCAGGAATATACAGGGCCAACCAAGGTAACTGCCAAGAGCAATGTAATCTAATGGTTAAGAGCATGCACTCTGGAGGTAAAATGCCCTGTCATTTGATAGCTGGTAACCTTAGTAAGTCATGTACCTGTCTTTTATTTTCCTCACATGTAAACCACAGCATTGTTGGGATTAAATGAATGGTATAATGAATGTAAGGTATGTGAAATACTATATAGTTTGTTAGTACTATTATTACTGTATTTCATTGAAAATAAAGACCCTTTAATTATAAGACTCTTATTTTATACACCAATAAAAATCACGGCCAATTTAACCATGCTTTCTTACCATTTGTAATTTTAATTTGTACTTAATGGAAAAGCTCTTTCAATCTTTCATAAAGCCCTTTATGAGGCTATTTCTTTTTTGTTTCATGGATTAATTTTATAGATTTGAAGCTTACATGAAAGTTTATTATAGCCATTCCTGTGTAAACTTTCACCAACTGTTTACATTGTGCCCAATATGATTTATCAGTCTGTTTCCCTCTCTATATTCCTTTGCATGCATAGTTTTTTCTGAACCATTTTAGAGTAAGTCTGTGACATCAGTCTTTACCATCAAACATTTCAGAATATATTTCCTATGAGGACATTCTTTTACATGTTTATAATATAATTCTCAAAATCAGGACACTTAACAATAATAATGACAATATTACCTAATATAGTTTATATTAAAATTTTTAATTTTATCCATTGCCCCTATAATGTCTTCTATAGCTATTTTTTCCTCTATTTTTAGATCCCAGGATCACGCAATACTCTTAATTGTCTTGTTTCTTTAGAGAATTATAATCTGGAACAATTCTTTGTTTTAATTTTTGCTTTTTTAAATCTTGATATTTGGAAGACTACAGACTGTTCTATAGAATGTTCCTCAAATTTGGTTTGTCCGATGTGTACTCATAATTATATTCAGATTTTTTATTTTGGGGTGACTTTTTTAGTGCATCATATAAAGAGGAAGGTGATTAGCCATAGATTAAAAAAATAATATGCCATTTGTGTGTTTGTATTTTTAAAGGAAAATAAAGTAAAATAATCTAGGTTTTCTAAAACTTTTCTAATATTGTAATCTAGGTTTTCTAAAACTTATTCACATTTAGAGTGCTTACCTCCTAAAATTGTGTTTACTGACAAGATGCAAGAAATCTTACTCAATTTTCTGCAGATGCACAAACTGCTATATACCATGAAGAAGGAGCAGACCATTTACAATACAGTATTTCATGAACTTATTCGACAAGTCAGTGTAGACTGTGCAGATAGAGGAGAACTGCTGTCCAAAATCAGGTTAGAGCTATTACTGAAGTATCCTAGTTTTCTTTTGAATTTTATATTAAGTTATGTTTAGACTGAATAACAGAAGGCATAAGAGGGAGGACACAGACTGTTTTCATATATGTCAAGAGTTAGATGGTGGAAGAATAAATGGACTTATTCTGATTATTTCTAGAGTACAAAATTAGCATTAGTGGGTAGATGTATTAGGAAGACAGATTACTCTTAATGTAAGGGTTTAAATTTTCAGTGTGTGTAAATCGATTCATAAAGGAGTATATGCCATGCAAGGAATCACAACAATAACTTCTACAGATATTTTATGATTTCTTATTAGGGTAGAATTAGCATGTTATAAGATACGGCCCTTTGAAGTATAGGGTGGTAGTTAGCGTATTTGCAAAGTTGTGCAGTCATTACCATTGTCTTAATTATGGAGTGTTTTCATCATCCCTGCAAAACCCCTTACTGGTACACATTAGCAGTCATTCTCCATTCCCCTTTTTCCCAGTCCCTGACAACTACTAATGTACTTTCTTTCTGGATTTATTTTTTTCTGGATAAACTATATTATACAGTTTTTTAGTACTATTATTACTGTATTTCATTGAAAGTAAAGACCCTTTAATTATAAGACCCTTATTTTATACACCACTAAAAATCACGGCCAATTTAACCATGCTTTCTTACCATTTGTAATTTTAATTTTGTACTTAATGGAAAAAGCTCTTTCAATCTTTCATAAAGCCCTTTATGAGGGCTATTTTCTTTTTTGTTTTATGGATTAAAACAAAAAATGGGATGAAATCATATGTCACCTCTATCATTGTGATGTGTTATATATACTCTTCGTATGTTCGTCCAACCTTGAACTCCCGAGATAACTCCCACCTGTTTCAAGCATGTGTGTGTGTGGTTTGTTTGTTGTTTATTTTTGTATTTTTATATGTTGTTGGATATGACTTACTAATAGTTTGTTTCAGAGAATGATTGGGAATGGATACTGTTTTCTTCAGTTTATGTGTAGGCTTGGCATTTATTCTGTAAATGTTTTGTAGGATTCACTAGTAAATCTATCTAAATTCAGAGTTTTTCCAGTTTGGCTAGTTTGCATCTCTTTAGGAATTTGTCCTTTTCCTCTAAGTTGTTGAATTTATTGATGCAGTTATTTATAATATCCCCTTACTAACTTTTTAATATCCATGGAATCTGTATGATGTTAATGAACTTTCTCATTCTTGATGTTAGTAACTTGTGGAGTTTTTCTTGTTTTATGTTCAGCTCTATCTGATTAGAGTTTATTGATTTTTACTCATCTTGAAAAACTATTTTTTCCCTTTATATATATTTTCAGTTTTCTAGTTTTTTGGTTTGTGCTTTGATCATTATTATTATTTTACTTCTTTCACTTACTTTGGCTTTTTAAATTTGCTTTTGTTTGTCTAGTTTTTAGAATTTAAAGTAGAAATAATGGTCATTGATTTGAGTCTTCTTTTTTAATTTTACAGTTAGTACTTTGAATTTCTTCCTACATACTGGGCTTATAGATTTTAACCATAATACCTTAGATAAGGCCTGGGATGCCAAATGCAGATAAAAAGGAAGAAACCAGAAATAATTTTATGGTTTTGTTATATTCAAGGAAGTCTTTCAGATGCTGTAAAGATATAAGTGTAGAAACATAGTTCTTGTCTTCATAGAGTTTAAGATTAGAATAAATAAAATAAATCCTTTGTTTTACATCTCAAACCTTGTATTTCAAATAACTGACTCTAGTTAAAATTCTCTACAGTTCCTTCACTTGTATGAGCATATGAGGATAGACCAATCTAGATCTATCTCTTTTGGCCTCATTCTCACATATCACTTGTATCTAGTTTCCTGTTTTTTTCCCCTAACCTTAATTTTTCATCTCATGCATCTTTTTCTTCTGCATGAAGTCTTACTTGCCTTCTTTCTTATGCAGAGAGCGGTATGTTCAAATGCTTGACCAAATTGCCCGTCAGATGATTGACTTCTACAAAGACATGGTAACTCAGCGAATGATGGACCAGCGCATTTTAGAAGAATTGTACAATTTTAAGAACGTTATTGAGGAACTGACAAGGTAAACCCTGTGATTATCTTAACCACAGACCAAAGTCAAAGTCATGTCTATAGACAGTAAAAAATATTCAGGGAAAGTGGCACAACTAAAGGAAAGGACTCTACTATCTTATCATTGTTAGCAAGAGAAGAGAAAGGACTGGCCTTAGACCTGTAGCTATAAATGTAGTTACAAGTAGTATATATTAACACAAAATTAGGGCTCTGTGAATATTTGACAGAGAACAGACTCTTTTTTCTTCCTTTCAAGTTAGAGATGTTTATGCCAATCAGGATTGTAGAGCAGTGCCATGACAATGGATGTTAAGGTTCCAGTCCCAAAGAGAATAAGCATTATGTAGCAGTTAAGGTTATTGATCATTTAACCTTGTGCAAGAATGAAGAACATAGGACACACATGTCAGACAATTGGATAGGGCAGCCTGGAGGCCTTGCTGTCAGCATCTATTTCACTCCATGCTACAGGCTCCCTTTCATTTTTGCCTGTCTTTTCTAGCTAGCTTGATTCCATTGCCCAGTCTGCAAGATTCCATCCATATGTCCACAGAATTTCTTGATTTGGTTTAAAGGTCTAAAAACTAGGAAGAGAAGTCAACATGATAAATAAGAAGCTGCCAGAGTATAACCCTAATTTCCTGGGTAGAAATTTGTTGAAAATCTGCAATGGTAACTATAAAATTTCTTTGTTTTATTTCAGGGAGCTGTGTCTGGTTAGGGCCCATGATGTAAAATTAACAAAGGATGCAGAAAAGGCCCACAAGGATTTGGCACAGGCTCTTTTAGATGCTGAAAAGAATGCCAAGTGAGTTACCAGGTGTTGGCCATTATGTCATCCTTGCTTCACATCTTATTTTAAGACACAAAATTTTACAGAAATATTTACAGTTTTGTTTTGTTGTTGTTTTTAAATTGCAACAGTCCCTGCAAGAATTAAAATATATTCTCCAAGCACTGTTGTAATTCACACCTTGTTTTGTGGGAGAGGTTTCCACGGTGCACACCTAAATGTCAAGTTGCTGCGTCATTGGATATGCACTGTCTTGTCTTGCTAGATGTTGCCAGCTGCTCCACAGAGTGGTTGTACTGGGTATCCTCTCACCTATATATTTGCTAATGTCTGTTATCAAACTCATACAAAAAAGTATCTGGTTTTGTTTCTATTTTCTTTTTTTTTTTTTATTTTCAAGATTTTTTTTTTGAAGATTTATTTATTTATGCATACAGAACTGGGGTACAGGCCAGAGGTGCAGGGATAGTGAGAGGCTTCACCAGAGACAGAGTGGGGAGCAGAACAGGCAGATCATGGAAATACACTGCTGAGGGGAGCAGCGGGCCGGTCACCTCCAGGGCGGGCAGGGATCGAACCCATGCTGAAGTGGCTTTAGCTTCTCAGTGCTGTGCTTTAACCTGCTGCACCACCAGGGCGGGCCTGTTTCTATTTTCTTAATTAAGAGTGTAAGCCTAGTTTGTTTTTAGGTTTTCATGAATCTGTGAATCCATCAAGTTTTTATTCTATTTTATGCTGTTCTTTTTTTTTTTTAAGATTTATTTATTAATGCATACCGAAGTGGGGGATGGACCAGAAGTGTGGGGGTTGAGGGGATTCATGAGAGACAGAGTGGGGAGCAGAACAGGCAGATGTATTGAAATACACTGCTGAGGGGAGCAGCAAGAGGGTCAGGAGGAGAGGTCTGCCACACCAAGTGTGTCACCTCCCTGTCCAGGGATTGAACTCATAAATTGCACAGCTCTTAAGGGTATAGACTTTTGAATTTTTCATACAAATATTTGATGATATACAGGTGTGTGATGCACAGTGTGATTAATTTTTTTCTTAGTTACTTTAAACAGATGGAAGCCTCCAGATAGAAGAAAGCTTTAGGAATTGATGCTGGTGGTTTCTGATTTTATAACTATAAGAATTCTGCCACTGATCTTCAATTCTTAAGCAAATACATGGGAAAGATTTGTGAAATATAACCTGTCACTTTACAACTTCTTTGTATTCAATCTGAGAAGGGCTTTTAAATTCTAAAAGAAGCTTCAGCATAAGTTAAAAATAAAAGGTATAAGCTATACATAAAAAAAAGTTGCTAAGAGAAAGGTATTTGATTATACTTAAGCTTTTGGGTAATTGGTAGAGAATTTTTTAAATTTTGTATTATGGATAATTTAAAAATATTGATCACAATCATGGGACTTTGTGCTTTTGATGGAGAATCCTAATTCTATGAGAATAAAACTTAGAAATAAGACTGCTCCATTACTGTTGCTTGTATTCTGAATTTTTCATTATAGTGTTGTTATACCATTGGAGTACCATATTGTAAAAATTCGAGTGACTAAATATAGAATATGGAAAGGTGTTTGGAGCAGGAAATGATTTATGTATTTTTTTTTAAACTGAGATATCATTAGTTTAAAATGTGGTCTAGATGACAAGATTACTTTTCCCACCAGCGCACCAAATGTCCGTACAGTGTGTACCACAACCAATCATCTTCTTTTACCCTTCCCGCCTCTCCTTCATCCCCACTGGTAACTACCATTCTTTCATCAGTTTAAAGTTTGTTCTTGTTTTCTTTATATAACACATGAATGAAATCATAGGTATTTGTCTTTTTCCTGATTATCTCACTTAGCATAATCCTCTGAGGGGCATCCATGTTGTGCCAAATGGCAAGATTTCATCTTTCTTTATGGCTAGCATCCCACTGTGTCTCCATACTACATCATGTTTACCCGTTCTCCTACCATCAGGCACTTGGCTGTTTTCATATATTGGTTATTGTGAATTGTGTTGCATATGTCTTTTTTGAGTTAAATGTTTTCATATCCTTCAGGCAAATACCCAAAGATGGGATTACCAGATCCTATGGTATTTATGTTTTCAATATTTTAGGAAGCTCCCTGTTGTTTTATATAGAGACTGCACAATTGACATTCCCACCAACAGTGGATGAAGGTTTCTGTTTCGTCACATCTTTACCAACATTGACTATTTCTTAACTTTCTGGTAACAGCCATTGAACTTCTAATTTTAAGATTTTTGTAAGATTTACAAATGAAATACCAATATTCTTTCTTCCATCTCACTGTCTGTTATTAATATACCTGTGTTTTTCCTATAATGACCTTATGAAAAGTTTCTAAAGAACAAACTGCCATTTTAAACAAAGTTCATTCTTTTTTTAAAAAAGTTTCTACATAGCTGTTTCTTAATTTTTCTTTTAGAATTGTAGAAGAATACCATGACTTATATACATTGCAAAGAGAAAGAATGGAGAATGATATTAAACAGTTAATGGCAGAAAGAGATATCTGGAGTTCTGCCACATATGAATTAGCCCTGAAGGTAGTTCATCTGAAATTATAAACTTTTTTAAAAAAGATTTATTTATTCATGCGTAAAGAACTGGGGTACAGCAAGAGGTGCAGAGCTGGCAAGAGGATTCACCAGAAACAGAGTAGGGAGCAGAACAGGCAGATCAACAAAGTACACTGCTGAGGGAGCAGGGGGTGGTGAGCAGGAGAGATCTACTGTGCCATGTGGGTCACCTCCAGGATGGGGATTGAACTTGCACTGGAGCCACCACGGGTTGGCTTAGCTTCACAGTGCAGCGGTCCAACCTGCTGCACCACCAGGGTGGGTCCTGAAATCAAATGTTTTTGTTCTAGATAAAGTTTCATATTGCAATTTTCCATAATAAGGGCAACAAATTTAAATGTGAATATGTATATTTTAATTGGTGATTAATATATCCATTATGGACCTTATGAAGGGAAAGTTGACATCTCTTTTTTTGATTCTTCTCTACTGGATAGCTGACTGTTGCCCAATTTGGGGCTTTTTTTTTTCCACCAGCATCTATAAAATATGAACAAGAATTTTTTTTCTGTTGTTTGGAGCAGGTTAAAATTTTCAACTTTTATTTATACTAATAGTAAATTAAGAAAGATGGATATAATGTTCCATTTTGATGCAGAATTTCAAAAGGGACATTGACAAGCCCAGAGGAAACAAATGTGACAGTAAATATATGAGAAGCAAACTGGGAGCTAGGTGTTATTTAGTAGAAGGAAAAGAAAAGACAAATGATTTTCTGTTCTCTGGAGAACTAACCACTGGTAGCAGTTTCATGTTAGGTTTTCCCTAGGTGACTAGATGTCAACTCCCTGAATAAAGGTCTTTCTCTTGTTCAAGTCTACATGTATAGTATCTAGCATAGTCATTCACTGAAAGACTATACAGTTGATTCAGTATTTCAGTGGTTTTCTAAGTATTGTTCAAGAACCCTTGAGGGGAGTCATTGGAACCCTTTCATGAGGTCAATACTAGTTTCATTGTAGTATAAAAACTTTTTTTGCCTTTTTAACTTTCATTCTCGCATGAGTGTACATTGATTTAAGATATTGCAATAGATTGAATGCAGAGGCAGAATATCCAGCTCTGTTCTGTTTAAGGCAGGCATTAATGAGATTTGTAAAACAGTGCTCTTTTCACTAATTTTTATTTTAAAAAGATTTATTTATTTATTTATTTGTACAGAACTGGGTACAGGCCAGAGATGTGGAGAGTGAGAGGATTCACCAGGGATAGAGTGGGGAGCAGAACAGGCAGATTGACGAAGTACACTGCTGAGGGGAGCAACGGGCGGTC